CATTTATGTTGCAGTAAGTCTGATTAACTATTAAAAAATGACACTTCAGGTATTCTTACAGATTTATTCCAATCAGAAATGAATCTACAAGAACTAAAAAAATAAATAATGCAAAAAATATATATAATAATCCCAAAATTATAATAAATAAAATAATATGAAATGAACAGAAATAATATCTTTGAGTATTATCTTCTGTACATTTAATTCAGAATTTAAAATATATATATCTATATATATATAATTTGCACCTCATTTTAGAATTTAAATCTATAGTTTATCTTTCATCTTACATATTGTAAATAATATATAAAATAAAATTATAAGGGAGGTTGAAGCTCATAAAACATTTCCAGACAGTTCGTACTTGAGATGCAAACACTAATAAGCTAATACTGCTTTGGATACTTAATTCTTTAAAGAGAACATAGTCTAAAAGAAATATGCTATGCTTTTATCATCAGCACTAAAGAAAATAAAAATCTGCATACAGTATCAGATATCTGCTGTTATAGTTTTTCTTTTTTCTATTGTAAGCAATTTAAGCAAAAAGATAATACAGATTCATATTGTTTATCATCATAATTTATATAATAATAAACTAAATAAAATGAATTCTCATTTGGACTTTTTACGGAAAATAAGCAAAAGAAATTATTATTGCACTTCTAAATACTTTAATGCATGTTGCCCCTAGTAATTAAGAAGCTAATTGCCCAGCTTTATTTTTATACTGTAAGCTTGGCTATTTGTGCTATCTGCATTCTTTCAACTATAATATCAATCAATTTCTGTGGTACATCACATCATTTGAAAGAACACTAATGCACATCAATTAAAAGAGAATCTTACAAATCTCTAAGTTACTATAACATTCAGAAATTTATTTATTGACAAAAATTATTACCAATTTGAAATTCTGCATTTCATTGCAGTTTATTAAAAATTTTCAAGTATCGAAGTTGTACTGCATGTATATAATACAGTCAAAAGTCGTTAATCCGGACTCGTCGGGACTTCGGCGATTCCGGATTAATCGATTTTTCGGGATTATAGATCATCAGTTTAAATCTCGTAAGATGGCATGCAGATATTCTAAAATTAAAAATATGAAACCGTAATTTATGAAATAAAGAACAATTATGATTTAAAGGGTATCAAAATTTGCAAAAAGAAAAAGCTTAATATTTATTTGTTTACTTTATTAAACATTTCTTTCAATGTAAGTTGTTTAAGTTTTGCTTCGTTTCATGTGATAATACTTTCCTTTAATTCTATTATACAGACATAATTTCTTGTTCAGTTACAAAGTTCCGCTGTTCAAGTCCTATAATTGCTGTGTCTAAAACACCGACTAATTTGTCAATCGAAATTTTTTCGTTTTCAATAACCTCTGTCACTTTCTTCGCTATCGGAAGCGAATTATAATGACGAGGAACTTGTTTTAAATCATATCAAAGATGGAGCATATCGAGATGAAATACTACATTTGGTAAGGAATTATAAGCCAAATAAAATAAAATCATCTGCGCTGAAGATAAGGATAGTGCTGACAGATCAACTTCCAATTCATTACGTGCCCGCCGAGCAGCGTGAAATTGATAAACAGATTTCGGATTTCAAAACATACTTTCGCTTTAGATCCTTTACATATTAACAAATATATATCGGAAATTCTATTTGATATAATCGAAAGTTTAAGCTTACTTTTATAAAATTGCTCTAACAGTCTGCAAAAAATAATAAGCCGGATCCAATTCGAAAATTAAGGAACAACGCAATCATCAACATTAATTGAAATAGATAATTAGATAATTTTAGCTTATACGTCCATTATACATAAAACGCGCACTCGAAAACGTATTCTGCACTTGCACACACTCATATGCGCAGTCGTAAAAGGTCTTACGCGCACGCGTAAACGCCTATGCGCATGTGTCAACGGGGCGCATGCGGAGAAAGTTTTTAGTTTTGAGGTCCGGATTATAGATCATTCCGAATTATGGGTGTCCGAATTAACGACTTTTGACTGTAATATGAACTATTTCTTTATAAAATATTCCAACAGTTATTTTTTAAAAAAGGCACTTTTTCATATGTAGTATTCTCTTCAAAAAAATTCCAAAATGTTTTGCCAAACAGCTTGTCTGGTGATCACTATTTTTATTTATTTCGCTAAAATTCATTCTCCCTCTTTTTTTAAGTCTTGGAGTAACAAGCTAATTTTAGATGAATGGTAAAGGCAAAACATACTCGGATGTGACGTAATATGACTAGCACGATTAACTCAATTACATCTTGTATAGCTGAATCAGTTATATACCGTATTTGCTGGCGTATACGACGCACTTTTTTTCTTTGAAAATAGGCCTGAAAAACGGGGTGCATCTTATACATAGACACTCAGTTTTTTATTACATTCATTTCTGGAAATTTCCTCTATTTGGAGTTATGGGATTTTTTTTCTTGTTTCCGTGCAGAATGTAGGAATATTACAGTTACATAGAGCTCTGTGAATGCGCATGCGCTGTCATCGAAGATCACAGCTAGGGTTCGTTTAAACTTTCCAATTTTTGTGAACGACTTTTAAATGTCTGAAATTTCTACTGCTCAATTTTCTTAAATTTGTTGGCAAATTATGGTTCTAAAACAACTTGCTATAACATAGCATACAAGCTACATGTGATTCTGTACGCTAAAGCACATGGAAACAAGGCTGCAGAGAGACATTTCTGGCCACCCCCAACTGAGAAAATGATAAGAACTTAGCGAAATCAGGAAGAAGATCTAAAAAAAAGTGACTCACAGTAAACATAACCTACAAAGGGGAACTGAACAATGGCCTGAACTTGAGGCAGAGCTGAATACTTGGATTTCAGAACACAGAAAAGCGGGACTTTCAGTCTCTACAAAAATGATTATTTATCAAATGAAAGCTATTAAAAGGTTTTCTTTTCCAGATAGATTGGGCATTTGCAAAAAGTATTACTTTGTATTTAAACTACTGTAAATTCATTATAATGATCAGCAATAAAGTTCTATCCTTCCAAAATGTGTACAAAAAGGGGCATGCGTCTTATATGCTGGCAAATATGGTAATTTAGATGAGTAAGGTATAAAAAAAAAGTATCATGTAAAGCTTCAGTACATTTTCTCAAATTAAATTTTCATAGATATAAAATCCATTCAAATGCATGCATTTTTTACCGCTGATCCAAGTGTGTCATCAGTACTTTTCTTGCATATTAAAGAAAACAAGGTCCTCATGCCTATGATCAAAAACTCGGCTGTTTTTTATGAGGTTTTCCTAAAAACTATAAGTATCACAGTAAAATTTCAGAAATCATGATTTGAAACAGTGCAATGATAAACTACTTGCTCTAGTAATGCCTTTTAGTTCAGTAGTTGTGCTTTGAGTTCAGAGATTAGCTCGAGAGCGATCAACTGAGTTAGGAACTGTACTTTAGTGCTTTGCCATAAAGCTGTCTTCACCATTATATCCTGAAGTTGTTCTTGAATCCTATGCTGCTGATCACTTCGTGTTTATTGTAGTTTTTCAACGACTGTAACACGTCTTTGGAACTGTCCTGTGTAACACTGATGAATAAATTGTGTTTTGATTCTAAGTGTTGTCATCAATCACTCCAAATCCATGAACCCATATTTTAATAAACTGTAGAAATTTCAAGATTTATAAAGCAAACTCCTACTTAAAGATGGGTAGATTAACTGACTTATGAATTAACTTGATCTCATCTAAAAAAATGTGAAGCTTGTTTATCATGCAATAAGAGAAAATTTACTATCAGAAGCTGTCAGCCTAAAACAACTGTCTACGGAAAATGCAAAAACGAAAAGAAAAATACATGAGATAATGACACTGCTAACAGGTTATGTCATAACACTGCTAACAGGTCAGAATCAAGAATACAAAAACATTACTTAAATGTGTAGAAAGTGAACTATTATTCAACTGTAAAAATAAATCAAGTGTACAGTCATTAATCTTTTGTTCAGGGCCGGATTTAGACTTGATAAGGCCCTAAGTTATTTGAGGTATGGGTCCCTTTATAAGTCCAGATATTATCTGTCAGTGCCCGTTTCATACTGACTCTGAAATATAAGAGTAAATGTAAACAAAAACACTGTTCCCCCTTTTTTTTAAAGTATTTTTTATTTTGAATGCTAGTTTAATTTTGTATTCGAGTGAATTAATTCTTTAGATTAAACTCTTGCAACATAGAGGTATATTGTCAATAGTATTCATCTATTAGTTACAATATCAATTACTCCTCTTTATTGTGATTTTTTTAATTGTTGTCAGACTGTGATTTGTTTTAGAACCTAGTGTTTTATAATAATATTCATGCATTAAATATACACACACACAAACATACCAAAAATGTTACAACTCCAAAGTCAGGCAGTAAATAATGAAAAGATACCAGATAAATTGAAATAAGATCCTTTAGCCTTCCACATCAATATTAGGCATGTTTATTTTAAACAAATGATGACTACTTTTTTAATAAATGTAATATATTACTTTGTAAATTGTACAATACTAAAGAAATTTGTTAAATGTTAAAATAGTAAATCTGAACTATTTGGGATATTAAGAAACTATACTTAATAGTGAGACTCTGCGATGCACTGCAATATTTAATTCATGTAAAAAAAGTCTAGTATTATAAAAGGGAAACACCAATATGCAAATATTATAAGTGAATGCTATATTCACAAGAAAAAAGGATTTATGCCAATGAACTAAAAAACATATATTTTGACAACTTTGTTGTTCAATGCAACATTTATATAAGATAATTTAAAACCGCTATGTCATATTATAATCTTTTTAAAAATGTATGTTTACATTTCAAGTTGATCTGTATTATTTATATGAAAATATAGTAAAATCCTCTGAGCAAAACATTCTGCATGAATGTTATACAAATTATTTAAGATTTAAATTAATAGTAATATAGAAATCTGTTACATACCTTATACTATACATTTGTTCTTTTTCTTCCTTTGTGAAGCAACCAATGAAGCAAGGTAAATTAAAACTTCTTCTAGACTTGAAAAAATATGAATGACTGTGTTGAAAACTGCTGAAGGTATTCTAGGATAAATTTCCACCAGATATTCGTACTGTAAAATAAAAACACAATTATATTAAATTGCTCATCTAAGGATTAATCTTATCTTAATCTTTCTCCACTACATGATGAGTAATTAAGAAATTTTATAACTTTTGGGGTTCTCTTAGTATAGTTTGTTTACTTTTTTAAGTTAATGTGATGACCACGCATGGCAGTTTAGCCATGTGGCACGCAACTTCTCTCTCTCTCTCATTAGAAGAGAAGAGACTGATAGTAACCAAGCAACGGAAGCAACCCGCTGTATGCCAGCATAATGATAAACGTTGGTTTTTTTTTTTTTTTTGCATGTTAACTACTTGTTGTGTTCATGTATTAATAAAATGTTCGTGATGTTAAATGTCTGTTTTATGCAATGTGCACATTAAGAAGTAAATACATATCCAGAACCCATGCAGAAGTAATGTATGACAGTTAACTAGTGCTGGCTTTTTTTACTGTGTAATCATAGAAAACATACATACATACGTATTCTCTATTTGCAGTATTTCTGAATTTGGTGATGCTAAAAATTTAGATTGCCAAATATTACTAAAATTATACTATTGATAGCACTCATCTCTAATAAAAAGTACTTTTAGACCATTAACTCCACAACTCATTATTTCAAGCAGCATTCCATGCATGTAAAGCAATTATGGGTGATACAGATGTAATAAATGGAGCATTTCTTTGTGAAATATTTATTATAAAAACTGACAGACATTTTTCATTTATTTCATGCAATATTTTTAAATTTACAGTTCCCTAAAATAGCAGTGCTTGATCCGACATTCAGCTATTTAGCCTACTAATGGCAAATAATGTATAATCATCTTCATGCAAAATTATTTATAATTCATTATTTTACAAATAAATAAGCTATTTTGATGATGTAAAACTTATTATACTGAAGTCTAAATAAAATCTTCCCAGAACCCATTTTACAGGGAAATACATATCTGACTCGTATTATTATGATATCTGTAAGTTAATAATAACTTCTTATTAATATATATTTATAAACCTTTTTACATGTACTGATCTTGTAACATTTAGGATTGTACTGCATATCTCACTTACCATATTAAAATGATATATGCTAGCTATGAAAGTTTTAGTCTTAAGACGAAACCTTTGTATTTCGAGTAAAGAATGCTTGTATAATCTTTCTTTGAATCGATTTCTTAATAATTCTGCTCTTTTCCAAACAGGTTCTTTTCCCCTGTCACCAAATAATTTCTCTGGTCCTAAAATTAAGATAATAATAAGATCAAATTAGATTATTGTACCCCTTCTTCATACAATTTATCACAGAATCCTTTTACATAAGTCATCTGGATGAAAGTTTTTACTTTTAAAAATGAAAACACGTATTTTTTAAACTGTTATTAAATACCATAAAGGATCTCTGTAATCCATCTTTATTTCTACTGGCTATCTTATTATATTTTATTTATTTATATTTTATTACTTATATTTTATTATTATTTATCAAAAGAAATGCAAATATTTGAAATCAGAATTTACACAGCACAAATTGTATGTAAATTATAAATAATAATCATACTTGTATAGTAAAGAAGTGCTTATAAATAGTATTTAATTAATACAGACAATGCCCACAAGGAAGCTTTTTATTAGCAGAAAGTGCCTTCACAGCTCATAATTATATAACATGAGAAAATCATTTCTATTCTGATCCTAGGAAAAACGAAAAGAAAAATACATGAGATAATGACACTGCTAACAGGTTATGTCATAACACTGCTAACAGGTCAGAATCAAGAATACAAAAACATTACTTAAATGTGTAGAAATTGAAGAAATAAAAATTTCAATAATTTTAACATTCAGCTACTATTAACTAGGAAAAGATAGTTATTTACAATTACTACTTTTATTTTTAAAGTTGAAACACAGTTGACTAAAATTCACATGCAAGAAAAATTAGTCTTTCTACTACTTCAAAGAACTTTGGTAAAAAAATTTTATAAATAATCCTATGAACATTTTTACTGTATTAACAATAAAAGGCAAGAAAATTAATTAGTTTAATAATGGAAAAAGATATTTCCTCACTGAAATTCATTCAGTATATTTTAGCCTGAATGCAGAGTTTTACTAAAATATTATTCATATCAAAATTTTACTTTTAAAGCACTGAACCTTTTAAGGACCTTCTTATTCCATAATTAAATACAAAGGAAACAAAATTTTCAATTACAATGTACGTTCAATATACAGGCTGATTCTAAATTGTTTTTACAAATTAAGAGGGGTGGTGGTACCGAAATACTCGTCTGAAAAATATGAATGACTGTGTTGAAAACTGCTGAAGGTATTCTAGGATAAATTTCAACCAGATATTCGTACTGTAATATAAAAACACAATTATATTAAGTTGCTCATCTAAGAATTAATCTTATCTTAATCTTTCTACACTACATGATGAGTAATTAAGAAATTTTATAACTTTTGGGGTTTTTTTAGTATAGTTTGTTTACTTTTTTAAGTTAATGTGATGACCACGCATGGCAGTTTAGCCATGTGGCATGCAACTTCTCTCTCTCTCTTATTAGAAGAGAAGAGACTGATAGTAACCAAGCAACGGAAGTAACCCGCTGTATGCCAGCGTAATGATAAACGTTGGTTTTTTTTTTGCATGTTAACTACTTGTTTTGTTCATGTATTAATAAAATGTTCGTGATGTTAAATGTCTGTTTTATGCAATGTGCACATTAAGAAGTAAATACATATCCAGAACCCATGCAGAAGTAATGTATGACAGTTAACTAGTGCTGGCTTTTTTTACTGTGTAATCATAGAAAACATACATACATACGTATTCTCTATTTGCAGTACTCATCCAGACGAGCAGTAATTACCATCGAACATAGGATTGCATTCCACTCTGAGAGGCAGAAAAGAGAAATACTAGAATTCCAGCTTGAACTTACAACAGTGTCAGGAGAGCGAATGAATGAGACCAAAAGTTTCACAACCAGTTTAGTGAAAACCTCTCAGACTTTGATGGCAAACACTCAAATGCATATCTTTGGTTGGCAAGGTTTCAACCTCACAAAAAGATTACAAGTTAATTATGTAATCAAGGGCTGAATATTATCAATTAACTCCAACTTCTGCTGTATGCCGAGATTAGCATGAAAAGTTCCTGCTGTGTTCCGGTGGTTAGAACATCATGTCCTATATAAAGATGCTTCAAGTAGAATGAGCGCAGCACAGTAAGTCCAGAAGGACAGGATAGAAGATGGCAAAGGGGAAAAAAACTGCTACCTTGATACTTGATATCAAGATAGCAGTTTTCCCTCTCTAGTAATTTAGATAATTAACTTGTTGCAATCGTCTGCAAGGTTGAGACCTTGCCAACCAAAGATGTGCATTTGAGTAGCTGCCATCAATGTCTGAGCTAGAATTAACACTCGAACGCCAAGTTTTAAGTTTTAACCATTTTGTGCACTCTCTGTGAGCTTTTCACTAAACTGATTATGCAACTTTTGGTCTCGTTCATTCGCTCTCCCGACACCATTGTAAGTTCAGGTTGGAATTCTAGTATTCCTTTTTTCTGCCTCTCAGAGTGGAATGCGACCCTATGTTCTACGGTAATTACTGCTCCTCTGGATGAGTATTACCACCCCTCTCATTTTGTAAAAACTATTTAAATCACTCTGTATGTACAAAGTTTTATAATTTTATAGCAAACAAACATAGAGGTAACGAAATAAGAAGCAACATTTCTCAACAGATAAATATCCAAAAGCTTGCAATGTTTCATCTAATCAACACAAGTAGTTATTTTCTTTAAATAGTGTGATGCTGAAAAGTATACTAGATGCTTCTGCAAGGTTGCAATAACAAAATTGGATATCATAATGTGCTGACAATGAAGTATTTCACCATGTGTCATGCAATCTTAAAAAAATATGTAAAACCGGAAGGTTTTTGAACCCCATGGTGGCATCACTTCACAAAGAATTTCTAACTGATTTAAATTCAGTTTACAATGCATGATTCAGGTAATTCAACCCTTTCATATGATTTTGATGTAAAATACGTTATCATTTAATTAGATTTTCTAAATTTTATGCTCTTTGCTAACTATGCTATGGCTAACTTTATTTAGTTATTACCTTACATTTTCACACCGAGAAACTTCCAACTAGGGAAGGAAAGCTTTTGTTTATCAAAGTAGAAAAAAAAAAAAAAAAAAAAAAAAAAGTGCATATTTATTATTATGTGGTGGATAAATTTAGTAATGTATTTTACATTGATGTAAAACAAAATGAAATACAAATAAAAGCTCATTAAATATAGATTAATTTCTCATAAAATGTTCATACAAATGCCTACAGCAGATCAAGGCAGTTGAGATCAAATTCAATACGAAAAATTATGTTGAAAATCATTAGAAATTGGAAAATGAAAATTGCATAATTTAGTTTTCTTAATTCAAAAAATTGCACTGTTGAGAAAGTGAAGGCTAAGAATTAAAAAACTGAAAATTTGGTGATCTACAAGAAACGTAATGAAAAACACAGTTGACAGGTAATACATAATGTTATTAAACAGTTAAAGAATTAACACTGAAAAACTTCATTATATATGAGATATAAAATTACAATTTCATGATAAAATAATTTTAAGTATGATAATAGCTTCAGATACTATTCTTATCCTTTAGCACAATATTATGTTTGTATAAATAATGTCTTAAAAAATTAATATGTTATGATATATTAAATTTGAATCTCGTTCTTTTTTAATGCAAGACTAATAAATGGAACATAACAATGATTAAAATTTACTTACTTTCATCTCCAAGAGGAGGTAAATAATAATCAACATATAATTCCCCTGCATCAAAAACAAAATCCATTGCTATTTCACAAACTTCCCCATAAGGGGATGCAAGAAATTCGGAAAATTTCTGTGAACTCTCATTTATCAACTGGGCAGCCTAAATTTGAAATAAATAAATAAATAAATAAATAAAAAGGTCATATAATACAAAATCTGACTCTATAATACTCATTCGTTTAGTCTTTTTAAAACTTTTACGTTTAGTTATGGAAATAAAAATATAGTCAATGCTTTTTTTCATGACCTTCACATCCTAATGAAAAATTGCATAATAACTAGAGGTTGCTACACTGACAGTGGATTTAATACACTTTAAAAAGTTCAAATATTTTACACTGGTCATTTTAATGAAATGATCACTATCACTATAGTGAGTTCTTTTAATAACAGAAATAGTATTTACATATTCCATGTAATTTAATAAGTTCAAACAGAATCTTAACAAAATAGTGTGTGGTTTTCATATTCGTGAGATATTAAAATTATATATTGTAATAGATAATGTAATTTACACAATGGTAGGTTACCATGGGCATAATATTCATCCATCCTTGAGCTTGATCCAAAACAGCGAAACATAAAAATTACAAAGAATATTCAAAACACCAATATAGTTGGAAATATTCAGAATTTATTAATTTTCTAGTTTAAAAATATATGCTATGTGACTATTTGAATCATTTTAGTTTTCCACTAAAGATGGAAAACTCAGCTGTTCTTTACCTTCTTGCAACTACCTTTAGTTTTTTGGAGTTTCAGGTTTCACAAAGCAATACAGATACATATGTCGTAAGCACCTTAGTAGAAATTGAAAAACTCTGCCAACTACGCACATAGCAATTCTTTAAGTATCCATATCCATTATATGTTGAAATATGAAAATTCACTGAATTGCCTTTATTTCAGTAAATAATCACCAAACTGCAACAAGTTGGTTCCACTAATGAGTAAGTAGAACAATAAATTTCAAAACCTTTGGTTTTGGGGAACTCCAGGTTTTACACTGTGCTCTGTTTTAGGAGTTATTTGAGTTGGCTTTCCTCCTCTTCACAAATGTCCATAAATAGTTCATGGCACTGCCACTGAACAAATAAGCCATTCTGTTCAAACAAACCTACTGGAATGTCACTGCTTGGCCATATCCTGAACCTTTCCATTTCTAATTAAATAGTAAATTTTTCATCATAATAAAATCAGTCAGAACGTCACTGATAGTTATATTAGGCATAAACCCTATGTATTTCCCCCTCCTCACCTTTTCACTTCCATCTGCAACCATGAAAGTTTTGCTCCTTTCATGCAAATATAGCATCTAGAAACATGTTTCTCTTCTCCTCTGCTGATTATGTTTCTTTATGCACAAATAATTTTTTACATATTCATGCACTGTTTAAATTTAAAAAAAATAAATAAATAAACATAACTCCTCACTTAATATATGATAAAACCCACATGCAGATTGATATATTGTATTTGCTATGCAAAATGTCTGCCATTCACGACATCATTATAAATAGCATCTTTAAATGCAATATAATTTTAATTCCTGAATTGAATGAATCACAATTAAAAGTCCAGTTGAAAATTTTCTTCAGAGGATTGAAACAAAGCATCTCAGAGATAAAATGTATTACTAACCATGCCTTTACTTACGCTAAACTGCTTATATTCACATCTTTACTTATATTAAATTGCTTATTCTCATATCTTATAAAGTACCCAAATTTATTTATTGAATTAATACCATACATTCATTATTCATAACATCATGAATACTCTGTTTCCAAAAATAAATAAATGAATAAAGATGACATATTCAATGAGGAAAATTATTATAATACTTAGATATTTAATATGATTAATTTCATTTACAGAATTTGAAACATAAATATTATATACTCTTCATGAGAAATACATTCATGCTCTTATTTCAATGTTTTTAATGAAACAAACAAGCAAGTCTAGCGGAAAAATAAATTACTATATGGGGTGCTTGCTTTTAAACTGACATTAATTAGAGCTATCTGTAGCTTCAACTATCAGCTGAAAAGCCACCAAATTTGAAAGGAGACTAATGATGAGGAACAAAACATTCTGTGAAAAAAATTAGTTTTGAAAGTTGCCATTAGGGGAAAATGTGATGCTGTTCTAGTCTATACAACTGAAAAATTTGTATGAAACGCAGATAAAATTTGAAAATGTACATGCTCGATTAAGTAAATAACTGTAGCATCAACAATTCAGCCTATAAAAATAATGGAAAATACTAAAGGCATTCCAAATGTTAGCTGGGTTCAACATGCATCTCACTGTTACTGATGTCACGACTGCATCCATGAGACCATTGCTGGTAGTAGCACTGCCCAGGGAATGGTTAACAATTAGATTTAAAGCTTTCCACATTATGGCAAATCTATCAGAAAAGTTCTGCACTTCTACCCATACCATATAAACTATATAGAGGAATTAAAACAATGATAAACGTGCAACATTTGCTCCAACATTACTTGCCAGGATGCAGGTTGATGATACTTTGCTGTGGAGAATCCTTTGAGGAGATGAGGCCCATTTCCACCTAAATGGGACTGTTAACATTTGCAATTCTTGGATTTTCAGCATCTGAAAGAATCTCCCACTGCATTCACCAGAAGTCACTCTTTGGTGTGGCTTCATATCAGATTTCATCATGAGCTTTTTTTTTTTTTTTTTTTTTTTTAAGATAATTACTCTAACATGACCACACACTTGTGCCATTACAAAGGCATCATGATATACTAATTAGTTTTGTCATTCCAACCCTTCAGCAAAGGCAGTTGCAGTATCCGGCAATTTTTATGCAAGCTGGAGCCCCACTATATAGTAGTCTACCAGTGCAGCAGTAGTTGCACCATCATTTTACAGAAGAAAAGTATATATAAATACCTTTTTTTTTTTTTTTTCACTTGCAAGGACGTCTCACTCCTTGGATATAACCCCACATGACTTTTTCCTCTGGAGTTATTTAAAGTTCAAGGTCTATCTTGGTGGGGTCCTGATCTTGATGACCTTAAAGGACAACATATCATGGGTTGTACTGAGCAGTCCTGGTGACATGTTATATTTATCTGCTGAGAATACTGAGTACAGGATGCAAAATGTGATCTATGAGAAGGGTAGTCGGGTAGAGTAGACTTTAAGGTACCCCTTGTATTATGGCGAAGTTGTTGTTTAATTTATCGCCAAGTTGTTGTTTCATTTAATGGTAGCACTGAGTAGTTGAATGTTATGGAAACACTATTGTGATGTAATTGGGTGCATGATTCTGGGAAATTTTGAAGCATGGGATGTTTTGTAAGCGTTTTTGTGGTGTGTGTTGGTTTGATTCTTTAGACGGTAGAATGGCCGAATGTAGTAAGATTAATTTGAAGTTTCTGTACGATTTGGAGCGAAAGGGCGAAAGAGCTTTAATTGACTGGTGCGTAAATGAAGGTTTACTTAGTAGTCAAAATGCTAAAAAGATACTAGTAACTAAGAGTACTAGATTATTTCTCCAAATTTCAGACTTTTATTTGAGAGATAAGAAACTATGTTTGATATGTACAAATCATTTGGTTTATCAAGCTTGTTAAAGCATCAAAAAGTAGTGCATACATTAATAATGAAATTCATTATTAGAAGAACAGCACACACAAAATTTTAATTTAGATTAATATCATATGTATTCAACCTACTATGGTAAAATTAAACTAGACAGGTAATAATAGTTTAAGAATGGCAGCATTTATCTATCAGATGGGTAAAAGGTTACATAAACAAGAATCTAGCTCTAACCAGATTTTAAGGAACATATACAATAACATACAACATAATGGAAAAAGCTCTTTTCTGAGATTCCTTACAAACAAGAAAATTGTGCACTGTGGATAAAAACCAGAAAGGAATAAAAAGTAAGCTTTGTAAGTTATATGGTTATCTAGAAATATAGGTTTTCCCCTTCACATGAAATTTGAATGTGATTTATTAATACTAAACGAGAGTCTACGATACTATATAAATTTAAAATGGGTCATGTAACACCTCAGAAATAGAAAATGTCTGAATAATCAAAGCCTTCACTTGTAAGAAGGAAAAGAATAAACACATTAATTTTCTGAGTGCAGAAATTAACATTTTATAGATTTTGTACTTTTCATATTAAATACTATTTATCATTCTTAAACTAATTAGTCAATATGAAGGATTCATTAGGTTATAGAAAAAGAAGAAAGTAGAGACAAAAATAAACTTATTAAAGCATGAGGATTAGCATTCACGAACCTTTTGTAATGACTGACATTCAACAAACTTATAGCTGACTAAAATTATATACGTTATATGCCTTGTTTAGTTTATTTCTTAAAATAACTTATCTCCATAGTATTAAAATATACTTTTAAAATAATAATTAAAATTAAGAAACAAAGATCACAGACTTTTGATGCACCAAGCTTTTTAACCATTTCATATTTTTTCAGACCACTCTCAACTGTTTCTTCATAAATATCCTTTGTCTGCCTATATAACTGTAAATAAAAAGGAGGACATCATTATATGAATAACAAAATTAAAATAATCAATACCTGGAAAAAGTAGCTGTTCTAAATTGTTCTATGTATATATTTATACAGTGTATCTTAGTACCACGTTTCAGAACTTATAGCAGCGGTAAGGTGAATCCTGATGATTCAGAATCATATAGCAATGCAAGGTCGGAAATGCTTTCTTGACACGCTAGTGTATACAGAAACATAAAAAATTAAAAGACACTAGGTACATTAATATTTGTTTTAATTTAAATGAACAAAAGTAACATGAATCAAAGATAGTGTTCAAAGTTTTGTCCACTGACAATACATGCCTTACATCTACAGCACATGGAATTCTGAATATTCTGGAATACTTCAGATGTATCTTGAATTTCCCTGCAGCTACTGCAATTTGTGCAACCAGCTCTTTGCCGTTGTCAATGGGGTGTCATCAACCAGTGTCTCCATATGCTCTCATAAAAAGAAATCAAGACATAATAGGTTGGTGATTGAGCATGACAACGTACCAAACCACCACTTCCGACTCACTATTGGCCAAATTTGAGGTATACAAAGGTACACAAATGGCATGGCTGAAATGCGCAAGGACCCCCATTGCATCAGAACCCCACTGTCTGTTGCATCAATGTAGAAATTTGTCATCTAAAAGTTAAGTCAAGATATTGCTGCAGAAAGATCAAGTAATTACAACCAGTTATATGAAAACACAACAGGTATGGACCGATGGGGTGGTCCCCCACAGCGCCAGCCTTATATTATTAACCGAAAACCAACTCCGTGCTGCACAACTTCGTGTTACATGAGGGTTCTCTACAGCCTAGAGAAGGGCATTATGTGCATAGAATATTCCTACCCTTGTAAAGGATGCCTCATTGGTGAACAACACATAAGCAGAAATGGTGATGAGTAGCACTTTTTCAAGATATTATTGTGCAAAAGCAATATGAGTAGCATAATCGCCCAGTTGCAAGTGCCTGGATATGCTGCACGTGATACAGATGCATTTTGTTTTCTCTAAGAATCCTCCAGATGCTGGAACAATAAACTCTGACTGCATGCATTACACTTTGTGTACTCAAACTTGGGAGTCCCCTGTACCCGATATAGCACATTCTGTTCAAAATCTGAAGTCCGTGCTGATCGTGCCCAATTCATGACAGCTCTTTGAAAGGAACCTGTTTCAGCTAACCTCCACTGCAGCCTTGCAAAGAAATTACAGCTGAGTGTAAACCTCATAGGATAGCCTTCTGCATAGAAAAGCTGTGTGGCTGGCCCACTACAACTTACAGCCCCATATGCCAAATTCATATTTTCTAACTAAGCGTTCATATAATTATTCACAACAGCATCTACTGTGGCAGAAAAGCATTTCACACTCTGCATTGTTATACGATTAATATAAATAATAATAATTAAAAAACACCAAGATCTTTGGTTTAGAAGTAATGGTAGAAAACAGACAGTGCAATCATAGTTGGAACACACAATAAACTGTGTTTTAAAGTCTACTTGAATATAATCAATTAATACTTGATTATAATCAATCAATACTTGAATATAATTTCTTGAATATTACTATGTGTACCGGTGAGTACTTAACATAATATCACAACCACCTTAATAAAAGTAACCGGATTTTCAGAATTCCCCAAACTTTTGCAACTAAGTGCATAACAAATCTTCCATTGTAATCCATTTTAAGTTGCAATCCAAAATTCACTATTCACCTTTTTCTTTCATAAAAATCACAAAACTGCGCCATGATTTTTGCACTAATGCGCAAGTACCAGAAAATATAACTCCAAGCAACTTCTGTGCAATATTAAATTATAATAATGCAATATTACTATGTCCAATAGCTAGCAGTTTAATTATTATTAAATATAGTTTAATATTTAATAGTTAAAAATATATATAATTTAATAAATTCTTCATATTTTAACATACAGATCCAAGGTCATATGTCATTACATGAAGGCCAAAAGATTGATTGATGCAGTAGATAACTTTGAAAATAAATCTAAATGTACACACAATAAACAACAGGCATAAGGAAACAGAAGTAGATTTGATCACTGAATTGCTAAAAATCTCATCTATTCAAGGTGAAGAATATCTTTAAAATTTATGAAAGGCATATAAAAGTATACATATTTAAGCAGTGAAAAGTTAATGAAGATACTTCCTTATAAGTAAAATTATTAGAATCTTTATGAAAAGAGAAAGCCACCATAAATCTACCTAATAATTAGGTGGAATGCTATGAAGATTTAAGCATAAAAATTTCAATAAAGTCGAAAGCACGAAATCTTTATAAATTAGAAAATCTCTATAAATTACACTCAATAAAACTCCTTATAATCTAAATGAAGAATTTTTTTTTTTTCTCCTATTTAGATTCATCCTCCTTTCCTGCAAAAAAAGCAAACAAAACATACTGATGAGATTTCAGATGCAAGATGAAGTTTCAATCTGAGTCAATTTTTTTTTTTTTTTTTGCTATATATTTTGACAATAAATATTTTTTTAATTATTATTTATTTTATTGTTTACTTAAAAGATTGGTTTTTACTTTCATATTCTTTTTTGCTATTGATTTGCTGAGGGCAGGTGGACAAGAAGTTGCCTGATAAAAAATGAGGCATAGTTCTGAATGTTGTCAAAACCTAAATCAAAGCTTACATTAAGACATTTTGTTTAAGAGTTTTTAGAAATTTCTAGTTTTAAAGTTCAAAAACAATTATGAAAAAAAATTTTAATTTATTTATTTGAAGATCAAAGTTTTGGAGAAAATTTAAAACAATTTGAAACAGAAAAAAATTTTTAAATACCTTCTCTTGTTGATGAATAATACTTGGAACTATACCTTGCAAAGTATCTAATCCTTTACAAGCTAGCTGATCAGCTGCTTTCACTAGAAATATATATTAATAATATAATTGTAAAAATTTAATAGATTATTAATAATAAAATCATGAAACTTTTTAAATTTTGCTATGTTACTATTCTACAGCATAATTCATTTTATTAAAATACTGTAGAATTAAGACACTGTTAAATATATTTTAATGAATAGTTTTAATTAACTTGAGTGAATATTACTTCAATGAAATTTTTACATTTGCATTTAACTAGAAAAAACAAAGAGCACAGTGGCCCTTCCCCAAAAAAGAAGGCACTGAATTAGACAAAAACTTTTACAGCTTATTTGCTCCTTTTTGAGACCTAAAATTAAAACCTTGCATAAGATCTATGAAAAGCTAAATACAGCACTATTATGCAGACATGTTTCAAATAAAAATCCCAAATTCTATTATAAATACAATCATGTAATTTTAATTACATAAAAATTTCAAAATAAAATGGTAAATGTAAATAAGTGTTTTTGATGCTCAGGCACATTAGCTGCTCAAACAGATTAGTGTGTGCTCAGCGCAAACGGGTAATTTTACGCATATATAAAAATCTCAATTTCAAACAAAACACACAAATTTAAAAAGATACAATATATAGTATCATGAAATGCTGTCACTATTAATTCAAAAGAAATTCAATACACTTACACTGCTTTTCAAATTTCCTGAAAACTGGTTTTGAAACGAAGCAAGCAGCTTTTTCTGTAGTGGCTAGAGACACTTTAAAAAATTTATTGGAGTATTTAACATTCCTGTATGCTTCAGTAGCAATATTCCATGCCAAGTACACTACTGGAATAGCAGCAACTCGTTGTACAAATTCACTTGTTGATCTATTAGCTTCCACGTCTTTGACGAGGACCATTTTCAAATGTCTGCGATACATCAAATAACAACTGCCGAATTACACTGCTGAAACATAAGAAAACGTTAAAATAAAATACGCAGAACAGTACAATAGACTCCAACTACAGGAATATAATAACAGCTTTTATCTTTAACAATAACCTTCTCAAAATTGGAAAAGTAATTTACCCACCTAAACTTCCTTCAAACATTTATTTTTCATCTCATCCATTGTTCTGGGATTTTAAAAGTGTTTTCATGACCTTGAGAGAAATTTCTAGTTTGTCTAGTTATTGTTTCCTTAATCTGAACCTTTTATGTTCTGTTTTTTCACAGAATTCTTACAAATACATCAAAATACAAATGACATTTCTTCAAATTTTGGACATTTCTACGTACATACAGAAATTTATATTTATATAACTTTACTTACATTCTTAAATTTGATGGTTACTATATTTTGCGTACAAACAGGATGATACGATCAATTAAAGAGCTACAATGAAAAGAGATAATTATAAACAAACTTCACATAATAAAGTTACGACAGACGACAAAATTCAATCACCTGAGTTTACTAAACGTATGTAATGTAGCATTTCACTTCAGTTTATTTGTGTAATGATTTCCGAATATTTTCAGGTTTCTATGGTAGTTTTACCTGTGACTATTTTTACAAATTATTCAAAATAATAAATAAGAATTATTATACAGTCTATGAAAGTAAAAGTACAACTGATTCATTTTACAACATTCAACAGTTTTTCTCAAGTATTTATGTGGTCCAGGTGGCATTTGTTTATTCATTTGAAGGAGCTGACGACAATTTGTTTATGGAGCAGCATGTGAGGAAATTCTTATTTATGAGGTAATTTTTATTTTCGGGTAGAGCGTGTTGCTGATACTCCAAATATATTATCAGTATGGCCCACGTATACATATATATACGTAGTAGCAGCCGAATAGTATAACCTACTTTGTAAAGTTATGTAGAAAATAGTAAGGGAATTTTAAAATTTATCAGTTTCTAAAAATTACAGAATGATGAATAATATATGATATCATTCATTTTTATTTTATTGTATGTATAAGAGGCACGACATTAATATTTACTGCACGATATTACAAATAATAAATTCCCTATTATTTTTGGAACCTGATGCTTAAAGGCACGTTGGAACATAAAAGCTTCAAATTTTCGAATTTCCAATTATAGTCTTAAAAAAAGAGCAGACTGAGATGATTCCATAAATGTATAATTTGTATAGGTTTTAGGTATATAAGCACTTAAAATATGGTATTTAAAAATGCATGTAAACAGTCCCAGGCACCTCTCGCATAAAGAACATAAGTTTTTCACATTTTTCAATATTCTTACTTACTAAAAAGAGCAACTCCTCTTTATATTTTAGCCCATGGTTTATTACCCTTATATTATTGTCAATCCACTGTAATATTAACATATCCCTAGATTGCACGGTAAAATCTTATATGGACAATATAGTATTATCACAAACATTCAGCTGTGTCCACGGAGTATAAAGACTCCGTGGCTGTGTCCTATGCATATGAAAACATGGTGTGGCAACAATAAAGCCTTAAAAAAAGTTAAAAATGTAGTCACAAACACTTCCTACCAGAAACTATGTGTTGTTAAAAGTGTTGTTTTTCTGTTCTCTGATAGAAAACATTTGGTAGAACACAGGGTAGAACTCAGAATCCAAATGAGAGTTTTAACTGTTGTTTATGGGATACTTACATAAAACTGTTTTTGTCTCAATAGCTACTTTGAAAGCAGGTATTTTAGAATTTAGCAGTAATTAGTTTTGGGGGCTTACAACAGCCCAAAAGTTCTAACACACTGAGAATTGGCTTGGGCCATAGTATGAAATATTCATTGTTCCGTGCAAATCTCGCCAAGCAGGTGAACACGATTTCAGGAAGTTCGCCAAGTGCCGGTTATCTGAGTATCCCCTCTATTTTGGAGGCATAAACATTTTAATATGATTTAAAATTTTGTAAAAAGCCAATAAATAAAGACAATAAATTTGTAAAAAGACATTAATTAAAAAATTTATTATGCTTTCATGGTTCAACAAGCTGATTCACCAGTTCATATCACGTGACCTCTAGTGATCTCATCTCGCATAAACTACACTACAATAATCTAATTCTCTCGGTAATTTTCTACATTAATTTTAAGTTAAATCTTGGCTAATCTTTGGAATAAAAGTTTAAATGCAAGAATTATTTCGATTCGTACGAATCGTTTACTCAGAAATTGTGTAAAACCGTAGTGCTTTACTTCGCTAGAGCATTCTCATTAGAATTAATGAATTTAACCCTTGCCTTTGCCTTTTCTATATTTTCTGCCTTCCAGTGAGCCGTGTGATCGCATTCTAAACTTAAATACTGCGAATGGCCTTAGAGCATAAAATTGTACTATCTGGTAAAAATTCTATGTAATTGTATGCCAGTATTGAAAGAACCAATCAATCTGATAAGAAATGGCCGTAACTTGTTTTGAAAATGAGGCATAAAAGGTTACCAGCGAGGATATTCTGTTTGGCATCAGTTGTACCATTATTGGCGACTTTATTGCCTGCGCCGGCAAAATGGAAAAGTACCCCAAATTCATAGCTGTATAATAAATTAATTAGCTCTTGCAAACTAATTTATACAGCTAATTAATTTCTTTTTATTTATATATGAGCTGAAATATGTACATTTACTGTAGAAAGAAAAATCTCGGTTATATCTGTTATTTTAAAATAAAATACATGTTGTTCAATCTTTTGCGAAAAATTGCTTCATTTTTCCTGTCGAGATGTTCCATGTATCCTTAAAACTTTTTCCTACCCCCATCTGCAGTTAACTTTTTAATCGTTTAGTGACAATGAATTCGTCTTAATAGTTCATCTTTCTTAAAGGTTAAAGCACAAGCATGTAAGAAGAAAAAATAAGGAGAAAAGGCTACTTAGCGATATACAATTGGGAGTGCTTTAGAAATAAAAAAAATATGGTACAGTCAAAAGTCGTTAATCCGGACTCGTCGGGACTTTGGCAATTCCGGATTATAGATCATCAGTTTAAATCTGGTAAGATGGCATGCAAAAGTTATAAAATTAAAAATATGAAACCATAATTTATGAAATAAAGAACAATTATGATCTAAAGGGTATCTAAAATTTACAAAAAAAAAAAAAAAAAAAAAAAAAAAAAAAAAGCTTGATATTTATTTGTTTACTTTATTAAACATTTCTTTCAATGTAAGTTGTTTAAGTTGCTTCGTTTTATGTGATAATACTTTCTCTTTAATTCTATAAACAAACATAATTTCTTCTTCAGTTACAAAGTTCCGCTGTTGAAGTCCTATAATTGCTGTGTCGAGAATACCGACTAATTTGTCAATCGAAATTTTTTTGTTTTCAGTAACCTCTCTGTTTTCAGTAACCTTAAGTCACTTTCTTCACTATCGGAAGCGAATTATAATGACGAGGAATTTGATTTAAATCATATCAAAGACGGAGTATATCGAGATGAAATACTACATTTAGTAAGGAATTACAAGCCAAATAAAATAAAAACATCTGCCCTGAAGATAGTGCTGACAGATCAACTTCCAAGATCAACTTCCAATTCATTGCGCGGTGCGGCGATTCCCCCCTCCCACCGCAGAACAGCGTGAAATTGATAAACAGATTTCGGAATGGTTAGATAAACAAAGGATTGTGCCTTTATCCATTTTTTTGCAGAAATTCCACTTTTTGTTTAATGGACTTCGAAACATACTTTCGCTTTGTAGATCCTTTACATATTAGTAAATATATATCGGAAATTCTATTTGACATAATCGAAAGTTCAAGCTTACTTTTATAAAACTGCTCTAACAGTCTGCACAAAATAATAAGCCGGATCCAATTCGAAGATTAAACAACAACGCAATCTGCAACATTAACTGAAATAGATAATTAGATAATTTTAGCTTATACCGTCAGGTATACATTAAATGCGCATGCCTAAACATATTATGCGCACGCACACGCTGCAAATTTGCAGCCGTAAAGGTCTTACGCGCATGCGTCAACGCGACGATGCACAGAAAGTTTGTGGCTTTGAGGCCCGGATTATAAATTATTCTGGATTATGGGTGTCCGAATTAACGACTTTTGACTGTATAAGAAATTTCTGGGAGCATTGTATAGAATAGTTATTAGAGATAGAAAAACTGAGATAAAGTAATTTCCATAATAAACCACTTTTTGTTTGAGGGGGGAATTTAAGCATATCATGAAAATTGAACATTGTGTCTCCCCTTGAATAAAAATTAACGAAATAAATCACAGATTGATTAATTATATGTAACTAATTTGTTTAAATGACCAAAGTTTGCTCTAAAAATAGCCTTTTTTTTTCTGTAGAAAGTATGTTTATATCGTATAAGGTTTTATTCAGTGTTGAGCTTTATGGGTCTGGCAGGAGTATTATGTTAGATTTGCCCCTAACTTGTGAGCCTTTTGTTTTTGTTGCTTACTTTTTAATAGCTTCTAGAAAACACCCATGAAAAAATACAAATAACAAAGAACTCCATGTTGAAAAATTAAAAGTAATTTTTAATCTAGAGATATTTAAGAACACATTTTAAGTTTGTTATCTAGAGGCATGGAACATGGAAAGAAATAACATGCCCATGATAGAAAGAGAAAAATGCTTTTAAAGCATTTTTTTTTTTTTTTTTTCCTGTAAAAGTGAGTTTGATATTTCATTGAAATGGCTTTAACCTGAAAATTATATAATAAAATTTTTAATAGTGTGAAGAAAGTTGGTCATTATGGAAATTTATCACTATTAGTAACACTGAGTCTGAATGAAATTTTAGCTCAGTGAATAGTATTTTCACAATAACAAGATCATTCACTCTTTAATATATTTCATATTCAATCTTAAAGAGAATTCAATCTTAAACTTCTTATCGAAAAACTTTTTGAAAAACCAGCTCTCAGCCTTAGAACCTCCAAGAACATCAGTATAAAAATAAAATTATGTGTGGCGGCTTCTGTCATAAATTGTACCACATAATTAAGTTTTCTTATGATTTTAACTAATTTCTATGATATACATAAATTTTTAGTTTTAATTATGTATTGATTTTTTTAAATTTTTTTTTTTTGCTCATTTACAATTATTTGTATTTTTTGTTTTTGTTAACAGTAAATATTTAATTGACACATTGAGAGATTTTGGGGTACTTACATATTATCTTATCAACCACGAAATTGTAGCCAAGCAGTGTGATTTAGCACTAATTATGCATAAGCATATTAAAACACATTCATAACATCTACACTTTCATTTGATATGACCCCGATTGGTTCTTAGTAAAGACACTTAGTTTTTATGAACAAGGCTATAAATTAACTGTTTTTTGTGTATTTATTTCTTGCATTTTGAAGAACATGAGTCAGATACCTGTAGAACCACATTTGTGATTGTGCTTCTACAGGTAGGATACCAGAATTTCATCATTGGCTGTACAGGCATCCACCACAGTAACTGTGAAGTCCCATCCAAATTTTGAGGAAGAACACCCTAGGTAGGCATTCTAAAACCTCAATCACATTATGTTTCAGCTACGCTGGACTTGACGTCAAAAGGGACAATTCTCAGAACCTGCACAATTCCAGAAAACCCACATACCTAGGGTACCATTTTCACTTACTACAAAGATTTGAACGCCAAACACTAATCGATTATCACTCAGATTAGGATCACGTGAACTTTCATCTGATTGGTTGTCTCTATCTGGGACAGAGATCCATCCAAAACGTTTTCGCTGGTACTTTCGAAAAAAAAACTTCATGACGAATTAGGCATTGAAGAACTGAAATATTTTTATTGCCGTCTTGCCCGGAATTTTTATGCTAACCTTGCAAGTATCAACAACGCTGTTATAAGGGTCTACGATTATGATGTAAACGACCCAAATAATTGTAAATGGCCTATGGCCATACTTAGTACTCATATTGTTTAATTTGACTTACTTTACTTGTAGTTTATGACTTATGCTATAATTTAAGTGCACCAGTTGACTCGCACTATCTGTATTGTATGTATGTATTATACAGTCAAAAGTCGTTTATCCGGACTCGTCGGGACTTTGGTGATTCCGGATTATCAATTTTTCCAGATTATATATCATTAGTTTAAATCTGGTAAGATGGCATGCAGAAATTTTAAAATAAAAATATGAAACCTTAATTTATTAAATAAAGAACAATTATGATCTAATAGGTATCAAAAATTTACAAAAAAAAAAAAAAAAAAAAAAAAGCTTAATATTTATTTGTTTACTTTATTAAACATTTCTTTCAATGTAAGTTGTTTAATTTGCTTAATTTTATGTGATAATAATTTCTCTTTAATTCTATAAACAGACATAATTTCTTGTTCAGTTACAAAGTTCCGCTGTTCAAGTCTGCTGTGTCGAGAATACCGACTAATTTGTCAAACGAAATTTTTTCATTTTCAATAACCTCTGTGTCACTTTCTTCACTATCCCAAGTGAATTATAATCACAAGCAATTTGATTTAAATCATATCAAAGACGGAGTGCATCGAGATGAAATACTACATTTAGTAAGGAATCACAAGTACAATAAATTTAGTACAATAAAATAAAAACATCTGCCCTGAAGATAAGGATAGTGCTGACAGATCAACTTCCAATTCATTGGGTGCCGTGGCGTCCCCCCCCCAGCCGCAGAGCAGCATGAAATTGATAAACAGATTTCGGAATAGTTAGAGAAACAAAGGATATGCCTTTATCCATTTGTTGCAGCAATTCCACTTTTTTTTTTTGATGGACATCGAAACATACTTTCACTTTGTAGGTCCTTTGGGAGCTCCAGCATCGGAAATTCTATTTGACATAATCGAAAGTTCAAGCTTACTTTTATAAAATTGCTCTAACAGTCTGCAAAAAATAATAAGCCGGATCCAATTCGAAGATTAAGGAACAACGCAATCATCAACATTAACTGAAATAGATAATTAGATAATTTTAATTTATACCATCCGTTATAGTACATTAAACACGCATGTATAAACGTATTATGCACAGCCGTAAAGGTCTGACGCGCATGCGTAAACGCCTATGCGCATTCGTCAACCCGATGCATGCTCAGAAAGTTTGTAGCTCTGAGATCCGGATTATGGGTGTCCGAATTAACGACTTTTGACTGTATATATCTCTAAGACTCAGGTTATAGCCAGCTCTTTTCTCCTTTCTCAGCTCTACTAGATGGTATTTTCAGGTCTTTATTGGAACTCGGTGCACACTTTATTTCTGCTAGAATATCTTATTATCCCATTACTCAAAAATAGGATCATAATTTATAAAAAAAAATATTATATCTTATGTTAGTTACTCATGACGACATTCGAAACAACCTACATCTTTGACAAGGGTGCCTTGAGCCAGGCACCCTTGTGTTACACCACTTTTAAGTGCAACATTTTCAGTGAGGTTTGAAAAATAACCCTGTGTAGCCACAACATTGTTTCCGTAGCTAAACAGAGCTCTTTTTTTCTAGGAATCCTCCCATTTAAACCAGTGCTACCAGAATCTCGTTTCTCAGAAAATTTCCATCTAGCAGGGACTGTAGCCATGTGGGATAGATAACCTCTAAAGAGTCTTCCATCCCTCTTCTTCAACCACCAAACTTTTAAGAGGACTTTTGGATCACCATGTATTTTGAGTGCCCGCTTGCTGCTCAGACACCGTATGCATACAATCTGTGCCTTTTCTGAGATCCAAACCCAGGGCCAATGGTATGACAAATCAGCATCACTAGCCACTATATTAGCTTGGCAGCAACAAGTGATCCAGAGAATTAACATCTTAAGGTTGGGAAACAACAGTTAGATATGGCTGACAAAACAATAATAGATTGAAACAATCACCTGCGGGAAGATCACACTCATAGCGATTTAAACAGTTTCTTGTAAAATTGGAGAACTAAACAAAATAATAAAAATCTTTTCATGAAGCACGAAAAAGAAGCAGATTGAAAACTTCTGCACCAGTGGCTCTTTAGTAGATAGAACAGAGAGATTAATGAATGTCTGATTGATGACTTACAGATAGACACTCAGCACAGAATTCCACTGAAACAACTGGCACAGTTTTGATAGGATCTTTGCCAACTTTCCTGGTCAGTGAGACCAAATTTGGAAAATCTAAGCACTTAAAAAATGTTTCAAGTGCATATACTGTTTTCAAAAGCTAATCTGCAATAGTAATCATGCCAAAATTAGAGTTTTTTCCCCCCTCCTCTCTGGCTTTGTATTGAATAAGCAATTTATGTAATTAAATATAATATATTATTACATAGTTAAATATATTATAAATTTTGTATTATGTGTGTTTAATTATATTGCAGAATGTTGTATTTAAAGCAATTATTTTAGCTGATTAAATATCAAAAACTTTGTATATATTATATATATATAATATGTATATTTTCTTTGATAAGCTGAGATTTTTTGAACTTTTTAAAATTTCAAGGAATGCCATATATACGTATTCGCTAATCTTGCAAATGTTAGGTACGTTTCCATTAACTGGTTGCAAGCAATAAATCACCAGATATAGCCCTTTTTTATTTCTTTAGTTTAAAAAAAAATAATTTTAAGTGAAATGAGCTATTTGTTTTATGAAAGAGTTATTTTATTTTTTAAATTGTTTATAATGCAGGTGTTTTTTTTCTCTACTTATTTTTCATTTACTGAGGAATGTTGAGCAATCATATTGTTAAAATTTTCAGCAAACATGGTACCTGTAGTTTGAAATTTTCCATATAAAAATATAATTTCTCGCTCATCTTTCAGAAAAATAAAATGGCACAGAAAATAAGACAGCACAGATACTACAGACTGTATACAAGACAAACGTATGAATGGTAAAAATGTGCTAGCTTCAGATAAGGTTACTAGAGTTAAAACTATCATCATTGTTATCTGGCGTTTTACTTTATAGGAGTTTGGTTTGAAAATATTCCACTTATTTTAGCTGGTTGAAACATTTTCACCCTCATGGTGACATGTTTGAATGTTACAAGAATTTGTTCATTTTGCCTCATATACAGCTTTTGAATTTTGGGTAAATGTTTTTAAGAAAAAACACAATCTCGACTTGTATTTGGAAATATGCAATAATCTATTTTCAATATTTTTATATTTAAAATTAAGAAATGCATTGTATCCTTGATATAAACTATACAGTCAAAAAAGTCTTTAATCCGGATGTCCATAATCCGGAATGATCTATAATCCGGACCTCCAAAGTAATCTCCAAAGTGAAAGCATGTTTCGACGTCCATCAAACAAAAAGTGGAATTGCTGCAAAAAAATGGATAAAGGCATATACTTTGCTTCTCTAACCATTCCACAATCTGTTTATCAATTTCACGCTGCTCTCCCGAGGGGGGGGGGAACTTCCGCGGCGCGCAGTGAATTGGAAGTTGATCTATCAGCTCTATCCTTATCTTCAAGGCAGATGTTTTTATTTTATTCGCCTTATAATTCCTTACTAAATGTATTTCATCTCGATGTACTCCATCTTTGATATGATTTAAATCAAATTCCTCGTCATTATAAATATCACGAATACACATCAAATAGTTTTCTGGTTGCAATTTTCTAATTTTGACTATGCGTAATGTATGCTTTACACGTGCGCTCGTTGAAATAAATGTTTAATAAAGTAAATAAATAAATATTAAGCTTATTTTTTGTAAATTTTCATACCCGTTAGATTATAATTGCTCTTTATTTCATAAATTACGGTTTCTTATTTTTAATTTTATAATTTCTGCGTGCCATCTTACCAGATTTAAACGGATGATCTATAATCCCAAAAAACCGATAATCCGGAATCCGATAGTCCCGACGAGTCCAGATTAAAGACTTTGACTGTAAAGCATTTCTGCTTTATTGATTTGTGCATTAATTTTTGATGAACTCATATGTTTTTATTAGGTAATTTAATGTTAATCATTAAAACACAATAAAAATGGATAATAAAGAAATTAAATCCTTATTGAAGCAAGCCAGAGAAGCAATTAAAGAAAAAGACTATAAAACAGCATTGAAGTATTGTAAGGTAAGTTCTTATTTCAAGCATTATATTTTGCAATTATTAATTTTGTGTATTGTATTTCATTTCTTAATATTATTTGCATAGTCCTTACATGTAATCCAATTTGTGATTTTACTTTTATATATTGGGATTAGATTTGTTTAATCTAAGAGCTATAAGTTGACAAATATTATACCATATTTTGGTTATAATGCATGTGTTCTGGTACTTCCTTGCTAAAGTCGTCACCTTGTTAATCAACTAAATTGGAAGATTAGTTCGCAAAATTGGCAGATTTTTAACATGCAAGTGTTTAATTTTTAGACTGTTTCGGTTATGAAGTTGTCCATGTTATATTGTCAATTCAGTATTTTTCTGACTGTAAAATGTTTACCACTTTTAATTTATATTTAGTTAGAAAAGGAACCATAATTTGTGTGTGTGTGTGTGATTATGACGTGTAATGTATTTGATTTTCACATTCTAGACCAGAGATTCTCAACCAGGAGAATTTCCCTGGGGGGGGGATTTCATAATTTCAGTGGGGAAATGTGATCAGCCTTTTATTTAACTGTTAAGTATGAATATTAAAACTACTTTTATTCTAGTTTTGACCTTTAGTAACATTTTCTATACTTTTTGTTATTTAGTTTATAAAACATGTTAGAAAATAAACTAAAATAAATGTACATGTGTATTTTACAAGTTTCGGAAAGGAAGAGCAGGGAATGTTCTTCTTGCAGTGGCTGTTATTGATCGGTGTATGATTGAAAGTTTAATTAGTTTTTGACATGAGTGTTTAGTTTGTACAAAAGATATGCATCTGCTCAAGTGGAAGGATTAATCAGATGGCTATGAGTGATTGTTTTGTGAGAAAGATTTGATCATTGTAAGAGGTCTGTAAGATTGAATACATGGGTTGAAGAAGGAAAGACAAGTATAACTGCTAATTAATTTTTTCCCATTTATGGGTGTATGAAATGAGATGTATATGGAAAGAATTTGCTCATGAATGAGATGAACGTTTTCTCGAATAAAACTGGTTAATTGGAGAAATTTTTAAAGAGAAGCATGTATGGATGTTTATTTAAAAAAGAATAAGATTATTGGTGATTCTGGTATAATTGTAGAGACTGAATGGGAGCAGACCTTTTAAAAAGAAGTACTATAATATGGGTAGAAGGGTGAATGGAAAGTGTTTTTTGGTGGATACTCTGAAGTAGGTATCGGAAACTTGAGTGGAAGATTGCATGTAAGAGACTTTGTTGGAGATGATTTCTTGGAAAATCTTGACTGGAACCATGATTTTCTCCTACTGTTGGATAGCCTATGATTGCCTTGGTTATCAAGGCTTAAAGCATTTGTTAGTGAATTAGTCTCTTATGTGTATAGACACCAGAACTGGTGCCCATACCAACACCATCAAAGGCATGTGAAGCTAGATTAAGTGGGAGTTCCACAAGTGCAGTCTTAAAAAATCATCAAATTTGAAATATTTTATTCCTACTTTGGGGAGTTTATGTGGCATTACCGGTGGTAGGATCAGGAAGAGAAGGATTTGTTGTAGAGCTACATAAATTGTGTTAAAGAGTTGTATGTGTCACAATCAGCCAATGCTGATGATGAGACATAGCAAGAACATACAAGCTGAGTACTCTTCTTGTTTTTAATAACATAAGTTTACGTGTTGTTTTGAGTGATGGCAATCTTCTTCAAACATTGCATCTTGATGTCAAACAGATTTGCCAGAAATATCAAGGAGCTCTTGATTAAAAATTTTTGCCTAAAAACTCAGCAATTAAAAAAAAAAAAAAAAAAAAAATGTGACCTTTCTATAAATCATAAAATATGTGTGTTTCAAATGTAATCAAAAACTCAACTATATGAAAGGAATGTGTTGTTATTTGCCAAAATGCAATATATTTTTCTTTCAAATCTAATCAGCAAACTCGGTGATTTAAAAGAAATGCTTTACCTGAATTAAAATATTTTTAGATTCCAAATGATGCTGTATTCAACAAAATTTTAGTTTTTCTTTCAAGCTACTCTTCTATTAATTAACACAATTAAAAGAAATAAACACAGATTCATTTTGATTATTATTAATTACTAGGTAGAACCAAGAAATTACATTAGCTGTATTATATATGTATATATATATATATATATATATATTATAATTGTTTGAGGCAACTGGCTATTGCAAGCAATTAGTACATATTATTTTCAATAATCACAAAGTACAGATGTATATCTATATGAAATATTTTCAATTTCCTCATTGAATAGTTATTTTAACTTTATACATGTACTTGAAATGATAATGATTTACAAAACTGTAATTTATAATTTTGAAGTTTGTGTGTCATTATGTAAGTTATGTCAGGCCAAAAAAAATTTTTTTTTAAGATTATCTATATTCTTTTAAATGGAAAATCTGTTGTAGCTTTCTCAAAATAATGCTCATGAAAGGGAAAAAGTAACAGTGAAAATTCCTTTTCCATTGTTCAAAAGAGTTCTATTTTCTGGGGTGTTGCACAGCGCTTTGATTTTTCTATGGGAAAGGAGGGTAAAATTAGTAGTTCGCAAAATAAATTTTAGCTGCAAAAAATTTAACTGTAAAAAAGTTATATTTATTTATGTTGCAGGTCCTGAGAAATTTGAATAGTTTGGGAAAAATGTTATAAATCTTGAAAGCACATGGTCTTTTTTAGTTGATTTCAAAATGCTTGGAATGCTACCACAGTGTATGAACTTTACGCTTCTAAAATCAGGGTAATTTACGTGTGAATGTTATGCTAAAAAGGCAAAAAACTTTAGTGTTTATTAGTTTATTGTGTTTGTGCAGACTTCACAGATTGTTCATTGGGAATGTGAAAGATTTATGGACAATAGAGGTCAATGGATTCAAAATATTTGTTAGAATTTCAAAATATTTGTTAGAACCTTGTAAACAGTTTTATTTTATTATTAAGCCAAAAAAAGTGTAAATATTTCAAAAACAAAATGTATTGAGCCTCAGATATGGGCATGTTTGTGCTCATGTTTGCAAATTAATATTAAATGAGAGTATATATATATATAAAGAGTATTAGATACAGTTATTTTTAATATTTATTTACTTTATCAAATATTTGATTGAAACATGGAGGAACTAACCAGTAAAATTTTGTAATCAGATGCTATTTACAAAATAATAATCTCATAATATTTTTATGATGTGAATATACGTTGTACTGTTTTAAAAATTATTTGCCGCTGTTGTATAATAGGAGTATAATCAGAATTTATAATTCATCATATTATTGAGTAGCTTCAATATCTGATTTAATGCTTTGTGATAATATTGTATTTTAAATTTTACAGTATTTTGAAAGTACTTTTCTATTAACAGAGTGATTTGCCAAATGAGGTAGCCTTTTTATCCTTTCATGAACAGCTGTGCAGTGATAATATATGTAATGTTTATTGTGTGCCATTCCAGATGTATGCAATTCTCTCTCTCTCTCTCAAAAAAAAAAAAAAAAAAAAGAAAAAAAAAAAAAAAAAAGAAAGAAAGAAAGAAAGAGAAACTTGCTCAAATTTGGCAGTGTGCACGATTTTTACATTGCACACATTAAACATTAAGACAAATTATATTTATTACATATAAAATAGCAGTTCAGTTCATGAAGCTCTATGTATTATTAGAGTTGCTGCCATTTAGTTAAATTTCTTGTTTGTCTGCTCAGGACCGTATATATATTTGACAGGATCCTAAGCTAGTTGAGATATGGGGCTCTTTATGAGGGATATGAGTCAATTTTTTTTTTATATGGCGTATTCTACAATTTTTCGGGGGGGGGGACGGCCCAAGCAAGTGGGGGCTCTAAGCTATAGCTAATTCAGTATTTTTTCTGCTACTATAATTCTTGTTCATCTACTACAATATTTAAGAAATATTCTTTAAACTTTTTTGTGGGTGGGAAAGAGGGAAGTTCTCTATACGTATATCTGGGGGATTTTATACTGAAAAAAAGTCATCTGTTTTTGATTTTTATTGGATTTAAAATGTAAAAATATTTCAGTTTCCTTAAATATTTCAATTTATTTATTGTATTTACTTTTCGTATTTAATATTTGTTAATTTATTTATTTATTCTATTTAACTATTTTTTTATAACTTAATTCATTATGAATATCAGCTCCAAGACAGTGAAAAGTCAAATGTGTTTATTTTAGTGACTTTTAGTACTTTATCAGCAAAACCAAATGATTAGATAATTTTGTACAGATTCTGTTATTTGGTTCATACAGTTTCGATGGTGTACTTCTGAAATTAAATTTTGAGATTTGGTGAAATACTGTTTGTAAGATGGATTAATCTTTTTATGTCATTTAAGTTATGTGTCTGTATGCACATCAGACTATGTCATATGTGCTATAATTTAAGTCAAAATTTCTCAGATCTACTAATCTGAATTAAAAAAATTAGAGACCTTGCTCTGTAAATTGTAATTGTCTGCTGTCTGTGATTTTTTTTTTCTTTTTTTTTCTTTTTTTAAATTTCTTACTAGAATGTGCTGAAAATAGATAAAAATAATTACAATGCATGGGTTTTTGTTGGAGCTGCTGCTCAAGAAATCGATCAACCAGATCAGTCTGAAGCTGCTTTTAAGAGAGCTATAGAAATAGCTCCTGATCAAATTCTCGCATGGCAGGTAAGGCATTACAGTAAAATAATTTTTATGCATATTTATATTTTAAAATCGAAAATTTAATGTAATACATCATGAAACAATTGTGAAAACCAAAAATAATCAAAATATTCAAAATTTAAAAAATAGAGGATTATATTTTAACAGATATGTTTTGATCTGTAGGTGGTGTTCTTAGACGTAACTTCATTAAAAGTATTTGGAATTTTTTTTTAATTGGGAATGCATTGGATGTGCAGGATTTATGTAATGTTTATCTTATTAGTTTTGTATTTTTATGTTGTTTTATGTAACATAAATTTGAGCTAAATTACTGGTTTTATTGAATTGTTTCATCTATTTTAGTATACGTATTAATACATTGGTGGAGAAACTTAAAGGAAAAATTAGAAAAATTCATGTAACTTTGTCAGGACTTGTTTTTTTTTTTTATTTGCTTTGAAAACATGAATGATCCTGAATAGGAACAGGGAGCTTACTCAAGCTATGTTCAAGAAGGTGTGAAGTAGACAACACAAGCAGAAAGGCTATACGAAACCCTTTATTTTCAATACTTAACAGGTGTTTCCGAACTTTGGAATGCAGAGACCAACCACTTGTGGTCTGAACGTAAGAATATAAAAACTACTAACTAAAACTCTAACTAAAAGCTAACTTTGAATTAGTATACAAATGCCTACCACTAAGACTGGCCTTTATTTAAAAAAGGTACGTATGTAGTACGCCGAGCTGCTAAAACTATGATACGTCTGCAAATATCAAGAGGGCTAAACCTCTGGCCTTAAAGGCAACCAGCAACCGAGTGAAAACTCGTAAAACTACAGTGGCAAGCGGCTTGCTTCCTAAAACTCCTTCTCTCTCTTCTTGGCAAAAAGCCACAACTTAAGTACTTTAAGACAATTTGTATAAACAAGTTAAAGCATTTAATTCTGGCCGGGAGTAGAAAATAAGAAGTGATAGTACAGTTTTAAAATAAAATAAACGTTAGTAAAACTTAGGATCCTTACATACTTCCCACCAGAGTTAATTAGTTTGGAACTGAGGTCTAAAACGACCTTGTTGAAAACTTTTAGCTCTAGATTTAAATCTAAGTCTAACGCGAGGCCAATCTTTTACAAAAACATTCCTCACTAGAAACTATCTAATCTAGAAATTAAAAAGTCGTTTTTACATGATCAATTCCATGGACAATTACTTTTCATCTGTACTGCATCTACAAACAGGAGTTTTTCTTAGTTGAATCTGGTTCCTTCCAGAGATCTGGAAGGAAAACTAGTTTAATGAAATGTTAAACAATCAAATGGCAAGTAACATGAATACGTATATTTTTCTTTTCAAACTATTCTTATTTCATTCATGCCATTATTTAATTATCTCCCCGTGCTCTCTGACATGTGTTGTAAAGAGAAGCACCAAACACATGTGTGTCTATGTACAAGTGTTCAACACTACCACCTGCAATCAAAACACTAACGTGTTAAAATTCATCATAACAAGATCTCAGAATACACCTTATATTCATCTCTGAACCCTGACGTACTATTCTCAAAAGTGGCTAACTCTGAAGGGTAGCGTCAGAGAGCCAGACATTCATTCAACCTTTAGCACATATTCACACTACTTTGCTCTTTTTACAGTCATACCAATAAGTTAAAATTTTGGCATTACTATAACATTTTTCACTTTTAACATATCACAGTATTTCTTAACTTTTAAGATAACAGTTCACATTGTACATAAGGACATATTAACATGCCGTTCATTTTACGCATTTTAAAACATACATTAGTAGTACAATGTTCACATTGTACATAAGGACATATTAACATGCCGTTCATTTTACGCATTTTAAAACATGCATTAGTAGTACAATGTTTGTTAACTTCTATTTCTTTCCAAGCAAGTGCTAATTCTTTTACATTGAAATACTACATTTCAAAAGTCCTTCAGACTAAAACTTCTTTTCTTGACAGAATCTTTTAAATAAAATTTTATACAATAATTTTATAATTTTCTTAAGGTATCTTTCTCAAAGATTACCAATGCTTTTACAATATTCAAGTATTTACATTCCTATTATACAATAATTTTAGTTTTACTCGCGAGTAGTTGAGAAACATAGTAACAAAATAGATAAAACTCATTTCTCGCCTTTTTGGCAATAAAGTTAGGCCTCACATGGGGTAAAACTTATCAAATTCTGCCACTTGCAGTAAGAATGAAAAATTAACTTAAAGTTTCAAAGTAACATAAAGTTTACTTATCTTTGTGATATTCCGACATCCGTTTTGCTGCCCAGTCCTGGAAAGTGGCAAAGACTACAGTCTGGTTTATCCTTGGTCTTGTGCGGGTTCGCCCTTCAGTTCCTTCCTCAGTGAGCTTTCTTTTTTTTCCTGTGTGATGACCCTTGAAGAACTTCTTTTTAACATCTGATTGTACTTTTGGACGCTTGATGGCAGCTGTTCTTGGCAGAATCGGGACAAATCTCTCCCGTTGTTGCCTGGATCTAGTTGCTGGCTGTTAAACGTTTGTTGCTTCCTTGCATCTGCAGCTGATTTTCCTTCGTCAATTCGTCGACATTTGCTGCTTAGACTCCTATCCGATGGGTACATATTTCGTTTTGGAGCCGTGTTATGGTTGCTGCCATTTCTCCTGGCTCTCTTTGCATTAGTAGAACTTTTCCCTTCTTCATTCTGGGGGTGGTTGTGCCCTCTCTTTTCTGGTCGGTGGAACGGCTTCTTTTTTTTTGTTACCTTCAGTTTTCCAACGGGGAAACTTTCTTTTCATATGCACCTGCCTACTCATGGCTTGCCCTTGTGATTGTCGTTGTGCCACCTAGAGATTGTGCTGGAGATTGTGCCTGCCGTGCCGGATCTTGCAAAAGATCTTTAAATATTTGCATTTTATTACGATTATAGAATGGTTTGGTCTGGTCAATGTTTGCGGTGCAGGTTTCACCATTCTTGGCTTTTAACACCACTACAGTCTGAGTTACTTTCTCTATTACATACGGTCCTTCAAATCGTGAATAGAACTTTGCAATTTTATCTTTTGGTGCTGAAGAAAGTGAATGCTTAATTTTTAACATTTCATCCCCTACTTTATAAGTAATGCAGTTTCTGTTTTCTTTGTGCTACTTCAGTGTTCTTCTTTGCTTCTTAAATTAATTTTTCTGTATTGCCCGTTTGAAATTCAGGGGCTCTTTGTTGAACATAAAATAATCTATCTAATGGCATTATAATCTTTCTGCCTAAAAATAACTCAGCAGGAGTTTTGCCCGTCGTGTCATGTTTGGCGGTCCTAAGGGCGAAAGCTAATTCATTGACATAGTTATCCCAGCTTTTTAAATGACATATGCCCAGTTTTTGGCACATTTCTTCAAATGTATTACTTACAAATTGAGGACCATTATCCAATATAACTTTTAGGGGCACCCCGTATTTTAAAATATATTTATTTAAAATAGAATCAGTAACTAATTTTGCGGAGGCTCGTTTTAAGGGAACAATTTCGGTCCACTTACTAAAATGGTCAACCATAACAAGGAGATACCGACTTTTATTTAACTGACTTTTTGGGAAAGGGCCCAATAAATCGATGCCAATTATTTCATTTGGAAACTCTGATTTAATGCTATTTAGAAACCCGGCCGGGCGGAAATGAACATAATTAACCTACTTGGCACATGTTTAACATACTACTTGGCAGGACAGGACATACGCCCTTGTTAACTTTTGCAGCTCAGGTAAATAAACTGCTTCGCGTACGCGTTGGATGGATTTTGAATACCACCATGAGATGCCAAAGGCGAATCGTGCAACTCCTGCAGTATATTTAATTTAATCTAAGACTAGCTGGGATAACAGGTCGAAATTCGTTGTTGGAATTCATAGTTTTTGTATAAAATAATAGATCATCTATTAGTTCGTAATGGGCCGCCCTATTTCTTATGGCCACAATATCTTGGTGGCTAAAATTTTCAGGATCTTTTAAATGATCATAAATATTTTTAAATTCCGGATCCTTACCCAATTCGGTTACTACAGTTTCTCGAGAATGTATCTTCATCTATTTTTATACTGGATAGGGCATCTGCTACGATATTTTCCTTTCCAGGGGTGTGTATGATTACCAAATTATACTCCTGTAACTTGAGTGCCCATCTTATTAACCTTGGGGATAAGTTTTTCCCTGAGTATAATCTAGTTACTGCTGCATGATCAGAATACACTGTTACTGGTGCACTTCCAAAATAGACTCGGAACTTTTGCACTGCTATAAGAACTGCAAGTGCCTCTCTCTTAGTCACGGAATAATTTCTTTGAGTTTCATTTAAAGTTCTACTAAAAAATGCCACGGGCTGCTGATTTTGGGAAAGTACTGCTCCTACCGCATAATCTGAAGCATCCGCTGAAATTTCTAAATTCTCATCGTTCTCAGGAAATTTCAAAACAGGGGCTTGCATTAACGCTTGTTTTAATTTTTCAAACAAACTATTGGCTTCAGCCGTTCACGAGAATCTTGCCTTTTTCCTTTTTAATTTTAACAATGGTTCAGCAATAGTTGCAAAGTCTTTTATAAAGGACCTATAATATAAACAAAGTCCTAGAAAAGAAGACAGCTTCTTCACCGTATTTGGCGGCGGATACTTTTGAATAGCGATTATATTTCATTCGTTCGTCTCGATTCCTTTCCGAGATATTTTGTATCCTAAGTATTTTAATTCAGGGGCTGCAAATTTACACTTTTCAGCATTAACTTTTAGACCGGTCTCATTTAATAATGAAAACACCTCTCTCAAATCTTTTATATGTTGATTCAAATTATCACTAGTAGTAATGATATCGTCTAAATATATAAATGTGTTCTTTCCTAGAACAGGCCTTAGCACAATGTCCACACATCGCTGAAATGTTGCCAGTGCCCCTGAAAGACCATACGGCATATGCAAGAATGCATAAGTGCCAGACTTAGTTATAAAAGCAGTCTTAGGCACATCTTCTGGTTTCACACCTATTTGAAAATAACCCGTCGTTAGGTCTAACGTAGTCCTGTATTTTGTAGAAGTTATGTTCCTTAAAATTTCTTCAATAATAGGTAACGGATATACCAGATATTTAGTAATGCGATATAGTAATGGAGTTCGTAATTCAATTTACGATAGTCAATTGCAAAACGCCACCATTTCGAATGTTTTACTCAACAATCGTTATTTTTCTTACATAACACAACCGGGCTGGCATAACTACTTGAGATGGGCATTATGATTTTTTTACATAACATATCTCGAATGTGCCATTTTATAATTTTTTCTTTAGTCTTATTATACCGATACGGCTTGTGGCGAACTGGCAGTGAATCTCCTGTATCGATTTCGTGTTTCGTCACTTGAGTAAATCCGGGAATATCACTAAATAACGAAGCAAATTCACTTACCACTTGGCGAATTTTTTGTTGCTCTCCCATTGGCAGGTGGTTGAGATTTAACGTGGGTGGTTCTCTTTTTTCTTCGAGCACTGGTTTCATGGTCAGCTTAAGGGACGCTTGGTTAAAATCCAGCGTTGCTTCTGCCTCTGAAAGAAAATCTATCCCTAAAATTACATGTGCTTGTAGATTTTTTACGATAAAAAACATAATTTTTTTACCTGCTCGTCCTTAATACGTAATACGTAGAGTGGTACTTTACCTATGCATTTGCATCGTTTCCCCCTGGGCAGCTAACCCTGTCGTATTATCCGAATTATATATTCTATATTACGGAAGTATTTCCTAAAAAAAAAAAAAAATCTTCTGCCACACAGGAACACTGCGTGCCTGTATCCAGGAGTGCGGTGGCTGGAATATTGTTCACCAAAACTTCAATCTTTGGAAGAATCAAATTTTTCACAATCAACTGTATTTAGCTTGAAGGAAGAGGGATTTTCTTGGCCTTCGGAATTTCCGCACCCTCCTGTCAGCAGAAATCCGTTTCAGTTTAAATTTCTTCTTCTTTTAAACACAGCTTCCTTATTTTTCCGCTGGCCTTCAAACTTTTTTTTCTGGCTTATTATTGAACTGTCGATGTTCGCCGGTTGTTTCTGGATACTCGGGTTTCCTTGACCACTGATTCGACTTGCTTCTGTAGCCGTGCTCTTGCCTTTGCTGTGGTCTTGGTGCACCAAATTGGCTTCGTAGCTCGTACTGGCATCTTCTTTCAATGTCCGCCGTTCTTCTACTTTCAAACTGGATTGCGAGCTCAAATAACTTTTCCAATGTCGTCGGATTCCTTAATTCAATAAAGTCTTGTACTTGGGGAAGTAACCTAGGCAAAATTACTTGGATTATTTCAGGATCCGGCCGGCTTCCGTACAAGAGTTTATATATGAAGTTTGAGAGATTTTCAATTCGTTGCTGGTATATGCTGAAGAGTTCCGCTTCCAATTTTGCACGATTTCTTACGACAGGGAAGGCTTTTACTAAAGCAGTCTTGAAATTTTCGTGTAGGTGGGACTTCCTGCTTGACCCAAGAGGTTTCTTCCTATACATTTGAACCAATTAAGTGCTTGGCCCCTCAAAGGGCTGGTAGCTAAGGTGACTTTCTGGAACTCATGGACTGGATATAGCATGAAGAGGTCATCCAATTTTTCCAAAAAACTGGTCACCGGTGAGTTTCCGTCAAAGATTGCTGCTGGTTTCATCAATGCACATTTCATCGATGTCTGGACGACGTAACCAAATCCTTCTAGGGCGGCAGCTGGCATTTCTGGATTCTGAGCCACTGCTGCAGGCACCTCAGGTTCTTGAAACTCGGCCATGGTTATTCTTCTTCTTCGGGCACCACTGTAAGGACTTGTGTTTCTTTTGATTTGCTTTGGAAACATGAATGATCCTGAATAGGAACAGGAGCTTACTCAAGCTATGTTCAAGAAGGTGTAAAGTAGACAACACAAGCAGGAAGGGTATACGAAACCCTTTATTTTCAATACTTTTCTGGTATTTTCGAACTTCGGAATACAGAGACCAACCACTGGTGGTCTGAACGTAAGAATATAAAAACTACTAACTAAAACTCTAACTAAAATCTAACTTTGAATTAGTATACAAATGCCTAGCACTAAGACTGGCCTTTATTTAAAAAAGGTATGTATGTAGTATGTTGAGCTGCTAAAACTACGATACGTCTGCAAATATCAAGGGGGCTAAACCTCTGGCCTTAAAGGCAACCAGCAACCGAGTGAAAACTCATAAAACTACGGTGGCAAGTGGCCTAAAACTCCTTCTCTCTCTCGCTTGGCAAAAAGCCACAACTTAAGTACTTCAAGACAATTTGCATAAACAAGTTAAAGCATTTAATTCTGGCCGGAAGTAGAAAATAAGATGTGATAGTACAGTTTTAAAATAAAATAAACATTAGTAAAACTTAGGATCCTTACAACTTAAATGATTTTGCAAATAAGAACATGGAATTTTCTCGAGATCTTTATTTTGTCATAGCTGACATACCCCCCAAAATGCAGAATTACCCAATTACATCCGCCCACCAGCGGCTGAGTGGTAAGGACGCTGGACACTGATAGTTCGGTCCAAGGCTCGAATCCCGCTAACGGGCTGGCTGCATTGGTGTTTTTGTGGTTTTCCCCATGTGTAACATGTATACAAGCCAGTTTCCCTTAGAAAGCCCTCCACGAAGGCATCCCTCCCTTTAGACAGATAGCCCTTGTTTGCTTTGCCACAATTAAATAATCCAATCCCAATTACCTCCACAATAAATTTAAATAAGAGCATAAGAAGTGTGATATAAAGTGGGGTAGACAAAAGTTGGTGTTACAATGTTTTAGAAATGCATAAAAAAATTGGAAAATTAAAAAAAAAAAAAAAAATGGAATGAAGGGATAAATGTCAAGTTTTACAGTGATTTGCAATCCTACCTATTAGATTGTCCTAGAGTTCCTGCAGCAACAGAATATATTTATGATGAATAGAGCATTAAGGCTGTTGGGAAGTGCTAGGTGAAGGCTGCAGTGATGTAAGTCAGCATCCTACTGTGTTTCACACATGTTCTATCAGATTTCATCACAATCGGGCATCATTTTGGCATTATGACATCACCTTTATACCAACGACTTTCAAAGAAGTTTTCAAACTTATTGCATGTATTGTGCTCCAGATTGTAATACATCTGGAATCAGGCTCCAAACAAAAATGAGATCTATGATTAGAGATAATTCAGCTATAGTCCTTAGCATTTCAATCATAATGATCTCTGCACCAATGGGCATTTCGCAACTCATGCTAATGGGACTTAAATCACAGGTTTTCTAGCATGCAACCTTCTCTTATAAGTAGCCTGCAACATGGCTCAACATGACGTAGTCTGGTGGCGCACGCAGCCGAACATCAGACTGCCACAGCATTTTATCTCTTTTTTAACTATATATTTTTTCCCCCTTGTGAGGGGTCTCTTATGTCTTTTAAGGTAAAACAAATTGTTGTGTACACAGGGAGAACAATGCAAAAAAAAAGGGTTTTATTATGGATGATTTTTGCATTTTTCAATTTTGTTAATTTGTTGCTGTTTTCAATAATTCTTAGTGCACCATTTTTTAAAATGGCTGTTGTCTTTGACTTCATAGTTTAGCAAAAGATTAGTCACCATTGTTTCACGACTTTTCAGAAGGGGTCTGCAAATAATCAGGGTGTATCATATCTTTTTAGACCTTTAAACAGTTATTCAGATGATGCTGTAAATCATTCTTGGTATTTTAGTAATATTAAGGCAAGACTAGGCCTTGAGATATTAGTATGTACAGTAATTATTAATATGTGAAACAGTCTAATTTAATGTTGTCACTTGTCATGCTAGTTTCATTTTCTGAGTTTTATTTAAATTGTGTACATAAAACATTAAAATTAAATGAAATGAAAAATGAAAAAATTTGATACCTATCGAGCAATTTTCATGAATGTGCTTTATAATTGTTTAATAACATAAAATCAGATTAATATGGCATTGAAGGTTGTTTATTTTTCTTCATAAATATAGGGGCTTTGCAGTTTTTATGAAAAACATGAAAGCAAAGAATATATGCAGGAACTTCTTTCTGCATATAAAAAACTAATTGATCTGTATGATTCGTAAGTTTATTTATTTAATTTTTAATCACCTCAGTATTTTCTCTATTGCTGGACACTTTTTTTTTTCCTTTATAATTGTGTTTTCTTTATCTTTTCAGCTTGTAAATCACATATGAGATGAATTGTATATTTTTATATTAATTAATATGTGTAATATTTTCTGTAATTGTTGTCATTAATGCAGCATTGAATTACAATTGTTCATTGTTAAACCCTATGGTGAAAATGGTATTGTAAATATTTTTAATCTAATTTTTTCACGGTTTAAATGGAAACCTTTTATATGAAAATAAATTCTTATCTTTATCTCTTAAATTCTTTTCTTTATTAGATTGGTTAATTAGGTACTGTTCTGTTATCGGGACCGGATTCAGCAATGTATAGATGTATGTATTCATGTATATATGTAAATACTAATTTATGTGTTTGTATACATATACACATATATGTAAGAAAAATAAAGAATATGTTAAAGATTAAATTAGCAACGTAAATCTCCCTTCTGTATTCTAAAAATAGCAATCTCTATTTGCACTGCGGCATTTCGAGAAAAATCTCTGTCATATGATTCGTATGTAATTTTGGGAATGTAAATTGAAATAAAATTCAACCAGCCAATAGTAATTTTAGAGCAATATTAACTGTCAAATCAGAATGTATTGAGAACCAAAACTAACTTAGTTTGACTTCGGATTTCATCCTGAGCATTATGCATTTGCTTTCCACGTTTTGGCCTAGCTACACTGCTGTCTATGTGCTGCTGCTTTCTTGCTACATTGTCATAAAAAATGTGAGCCTTTTGGAACAGGCACCCTGTTCCAAAAGGCTTACATTTTTACACACAAGTACACACACACAGCTACACATTTACAGCTACACACAAGTAGGCACATTAAATGTGCCTACTTGTGTGTAGCTGCAACATGTTGCTGAAAATAAAACTGAAGATTTGATCTGCCTTTGCCTCCAATTTTTTAGTCATTATGGATCAACACTTCTACACCATCCAAATTCCTGCTCCTGAATATATCACATATATAAACACACATACATACACACACGCGTGCATTCATACATTTCTGAATCCAGTCCCGACAACAGAACAGTATCCTTAATTATATTTCTCAGTATGATATATTTATTGCATGTAAATACAGTAAACCACGCTTAACGCGAGGGTTATGCTGCATCTAAGTAAGGCATTATATTAAATAGCATTAAATGAGGTCATCTCATCATGTAAATTATTAGGGAAAAACAGGTATGAAATAAAGTATTTTTCAAGGATTTTACTATTTAAGTTCATTAAATATGTCTTTTATAACAATACAAAATAAAAACTTATTTCTTACAAATGTTGAAACATGGCAAATGAATATATAGAAATAAATAAAATTTTAGGTCATCATTTATATTTTAGATCATTCAGAATTTTTCTACATTTCCAATTTTCTTTGTTTTTTATCAAGAAAGTATCTAATGTCATTTGCATTTTTCTTTTATGCTCCATAGGAATTTGTCGATAAGGGAACAAGGCATCCATGACACCCCCTCTTGCCTTTGAACTCCTATTAAAACTGCATTATTGTCAATAAATGTGTAAACAATTTCTGTTATGGAAGCTAAACTGATTTTTAGAAATGCTCTTGAAAGTTCTTTTTGCTCTTCTTCAGAATCGCTTTTTTTAATATTTTTGTGTTCTTGATTTGTTAATTCCTTGATCTTATCATTAGAAAGACTTGTTTCTTGTAAAATTTCTCCAAGACCTTCCACATTTACTTCATTTAAACCTGTATCTTTCGCTAATTCTACTATTTTGTTCAAATCAGCGACAGAATCTATAGTGTCATCGTCATTGTTTATATCTCGTCAAATGATTTTCCACACTCATTCAAATATTTCTCTGTTGCCTCATTTCAAGAAAGATTAATGTTTTCTATAGCATCCATAATATTATAGTTTCTCCTGAAATCCCTTATTGATTATTTATCATTTCTGTCTGTTTTTTCAAACATTTGTCTAAATATTCACTGCATGTAATAAGTTTTAAAATTTGATATAACGCCTTGATCCATTATTTGGTTTAACGCAGTCGTGTTAGGTGGCAAGAAAAGCACTTTGGAATGCATGTTATTAACTCAGATAAATTTGTTGGGTAACTTGGAGCATTATCCATTAAAAGTAGTGCTTTTGGTTCAAGTTTTTTGATTTTGCAATAGCGTTTAACAGATGGACAAAAATGTTCAGTGAACCAATTCTGAAAAATTTTCATAGTTATCCATTTTCATAGTTTCATAGTTATTTCATATTTTTATTAGATACCAAATTAAAGGTAAAGTTGATTTTAAAATTCCTTTCCTCACTCTTGGGTTTTTGGAGTGATAAACAAGAAGTGGCTTTAATTTGAAGTCTGCATTGGTGTTAGCTGTGTGAGTTTAAGTGATCATTTACAACTTTGAATGCTGGTGCACGTTTTTCTTCACGGTATAGAAATGCACGTTTTGGCATTCTTTCCCAAAATAGGACCATTTCGTCGTCATTAAAAACTAATTCTTGAGGATAGTTTCATTGTTTCTTACGGTCGGTGGGAATTCAGCCACTGCTTTTATATCTCAGTTTGCTGCCTCTCCTGTAATCTGTATGTTATGAAGATTATTTCGATGTTTAAATCTATTAAACCATCCTTGACTTGCAACAAAAGTTTCAGTTGTGTCACCCGTTTCAAAATGAATGTGATTAAAAATTCTAACTTTTTCCATTTTAATAGTCTGGCTTAATATTGCATTCAACATCATTGTAAATCCCTACAGAAAGTCATTTTTCCATATCCTTTATTGTATTATTTCTATAACGGGTAATTCTAGTTGCAGAGGTTTTTTTAATTGTAGTTACTGATGACTATTTTTAATTTATTCATGAAAACTGTCCTTGTTGCTGAAGTTGACAAGTTCAATACAACACCAATTTGAAACTGACGTTCACCATTATCTAATCTTCTAAGCACTTGCATTTTAGTTTCCAGTGAAATGCTTTTTCTTCTTGCTCTATTTTAGTGTTTCTTGTTACCACTCGTATTAAAAACTAAAAATTATAATATTTATCACTATATCAATTATTATTATATGATCATATTACATAAATTTATATTTGCAATAACAGCAACAAATGTTTGAAATAATAAAAATATATTTGTGTAACACTACAGAGAAGAAGTAATGCAGATAAATTACTTTCAATTTCAGGGAAGCCCAATGCTGCATGCAATTTTTAGGGAATCCCATTATCCCAATAAAAATGCATTAAAGCAAAACAGCGCTAAACAGACCAGCATTAAGAACAGGGTCTTACTGCTTGTTGTACAGTAAGTTAAAAAAAAAGGGGGACATTTTAATAACTTTTGTACTGATTGATCAATAGACAAATGTCAACTTGCATTTTCCATGTCTGAAAAGCATGGCTTAGGATATTTATTAGATTTAGCTACAGCATTCTTCTAACAAACATCTTTTAACACATTTTTTTAAATGACATGCTGTTTTTTTTTTTTTTTTTTTTTTTTTTTTTTTTTTATAGACAGTATAGTGGTTAGGGGAGCCTGACTGTAATACCTGAGGGCCCGGGTTCAAATTTCAGAGAAGGCATATATGTAAAATTGTCTTTCCTTCATAGGAGGTAATGGTGGCTGCCTGTTAGGTGCCTCCAGAATACAATTGCCACCACTTTTGGCCTTAGAAGTCACCAGTGATGTTCTAGGCAAGTGCCTGCCATTGGAAAAAAACTTTCATTCTTGAAATTAGCCAAAATGTAAAGCTTTGAAAAAAAATTTAATAAACAGTTTTTTTCTTAAATAAACAATCAAAATTTTAACTGTAGCATTAGATAAATTTGGTTTATATTTGATGAAATTGTTATTAATTTGAAATTTAGGTTTAATCCAAATAAATTTTTCTGATTTTTTAAAAATTTATTTTTAAATACTTTTATAAATTTTTAAACAAATTTTTGAAATATAACTTATGAAAATTTGCATACCATAAATATTTTTAGCCATATTTCGAAGAACTTTGAATTTTTTATTAAAAAATTTCAGAGGTATTTGTAAATTTAAATATTAAAAATGTTTGGTAATGATTTAAAATCTGGAATAGAATTAAAAGCCATAATGATAATATTATTCTATTTTGCACTGTTTAAGCTCTTGCATTTGTTTTAAACAAAAATTAACAGACTTATATTAGCAGAAGATTTCAATTTTAAAAAACCAATTAACAATTTTGGGAAAATTATAACTATAATTAAGTTTTTAAAAGTTTGGCAACTAGTCAATAGATGAAGTAAGTTTAATAAAGTAGATAAGTTTTATTTTATTTTATTAAACTGATTTTATTAAATCTCCATAAAATAAATTTAATGTACTGTGTATTACTGTCTTTTCTTTTTAGAGATAAAGGTAAAAAGTTAGAAGTATATGATAAGCTAATTTTGCTGTTGCAGAAACTGAAAGATAAGGATAAGGTACATTTTCTCCATTTCATTAATTATTTGCAACTTTTTAATGTACACTGTAATAACAAAAAATTATTTTTCACTTATTTTCATCCTATGATAGCTCATCAAAGTTCTTAAAACGAAACTTGACATAGTGAAAGGCGACAATAAACTTGAATATCCTTTGCAAAAAGAGGTATTTCAAGAACTGTCTGTCAAAAAAGATTTGACTGAGTGTGAGAAGCAAATGGTAAGTCATTTATTTTTATAAAAGAAATTTACTGTTTTTTTTTAATTAGAAAAATTTTAGTTTTAATTTCTTAAATCCTAACTTGTTTGAGAACATTATGAAAATGTAGTTGTATATATTATGGTCTTATTGCATTATCTAGCCCAATCCTTACAAGAATTACTGGGCAAAGTGCTATGTCACCAAAACAAGCAGCCCAGAATTTTATGAAAATGTATTTATCTGGTAACCCACTAAAATTATGGTGGCATGTGCTTAATTTCACCGTCTATTTTGGTGATGGTGGTAATGTGCATGCTTTTGAAATTTAAGGGTCGTGTTTGTGGTTTCTCTTTGCCATTAGTGTGTAGAGTTCCCCCCCCCTTCTAACAAATCATAATGTTACTGTGGAGTTTGCCAACTAGTGAAAAAGAAATTGTTGCATTTTTTTAAAGTTATAACAGATCAGTTTATGAATGGACAAAAGCCAATGAAAAAAGAAAGTTAAGGGTGTTTTGTTGCTGTTTCATGTAATTTTCAATGTTTAAATATGGATGTTACATAATTTTAAATATTTCATTATGGATTTTTCTTTTGCTTTAGTTTCTTTAATTCATTGCTGTTTTATATAATCTTCAGCACACTGCTATTATTTAAAATGGCTACTGTTTTTCATGTGTTAGGTAGGTGAAAAATTAGTCGCCCTAACAGATAATCATTTGTGTATTAGAATTTAAGGAGGAATATATTATTTAAATATGATAAAATTTTAATTGCATTAGTAACTGGAAAGTACCTTGGAAAACCATATATCAATATTACTTAGTGCTGTAATAACCTTTATGGAAGCATTAATGTAATACTTACCTTAGAATCCATTTAAATGCTTAATTGATCACAGTTTTGCTTCTCTTAAAAGCATTAACCCATTAGCCGCTGGTGTTGCGTTGACACAACGGTCAAAATAAATGCATATATAAATATAACTATCTAAGATATTTTATACCAGCAGATGATTTTGTGTAGGGAATATTATGAAGATTATTTCTGTAAAAAATATTTGCCTTCAACAATCATTTTATTTATAATAATTAATCTCATACTTTAAGCAAAATTTTCGACTAGGTATTTTTGCTGAAAATATTTAATGAAAGAATCGCCATCTTTATGAGTGATCTATTTTAAGTCAAGGTCACTGTTTATCAGAACATTACATCAGGGAAGGAAGGGAAACAGGTGTTGCGTTGACGCAACGTCAGCAGGAAACGGGTAGTTAATCTCCTTTTTCACTCATTCCTTTCGATCTTCTGGTTCATGTTCTGGTTGTTTAAAAATGCCTAGAACGAGGTATCTTACATTAGAAGAAGCCCTTCAAAGATTTTTTGATGAAGAAACAGATGATGCTAATGTTAATAATGACCAGAATGAAACTGATATTATTGTTGTTCCCCCTGAAATTGCAGAGGCTAGTGACGAAGAAGAAAGAAATGGAAATGCTTTAGTAATGATAATGATATTTTACCAAATGATACTGCTGGCGAAGTTGAAATTCACGTAAGAAATAAGTTTCAGCCTTCTAAAAGCAGTTATAGTCATACTAAAAAGTTTAAAAAGCAGAAGACTGAAATCTTGAAGTGGATGAAAAAGGAACTGTTAGTTATGTCTCAGGAAGAACATGAAGAAAGAGATAGAAGAGAAATTATAAAAGACAAAATGCAAGGTAAAACTAGTGCACAGATTTTCGATTTTCTTTTTGGTTTAGACATTTACTCTCTTCTCGTTGAACAGACAAATATATACGCTCAGAAAAAAAAAAAAAAAAGGCCTAGAATTTATTGCATCTGAAGCCTATATGAGAAGATTTATTGGAATATTATTGCTTACAGGATATCATTTTGTACCTCAAGAAAAAATGTATTGGTTTTTTGATAAGGACATTTCTGTTTCCGTTGTATGAGAATTGATATCACGTTTGCAGTACAGGAATATGAAGCAGAATTTGCATTTGACAGTAGTCAAATTGACAATACTGATGAATTATATAAGGTGAGACCGTATTTAAACTTACTAAATATCATCACTTTTTACTACTGGAAATATAAAGTCTCTTTCAGATTTCAGACACGAGAATGCATTATTCCTTTTGCAAACTCCTATTGAGAAAGTAGAATTAACCAGAAATAGATCAGCAACAGGAAGACCTAGTAAATTCAGCATTCAAAAACCGTTGCATGGAGATGGAGACATTTTATCAGAAAGTCCGTTGATAACAAAAGACTTTGTTGTAAAGAGTACCATAGCCAGACTGTTTATAAATGCAAAGTATGTAATGTAGCTTTACATTATGATTGTAATCAAGCTTTTCATGCTTGAATCTTTCAAATGAAATAATCTGTATTTGTAAAAGAAATACAATGTATATTTTAATATTAAATTAATTACAAGTAAAGTGATTTGTAGATTTATAAAACATTATACAGCTAAAAAGTAATCCTGTGCTCCACTCAAAAGAAACATCACATGAGTACAATCCTACTCACTAAAGATCCGTAGTCTTGTTCTGCTGACGTTGCGCGAACGGAACCCTCACTTTTTCCACAGGTAAGAGCATTTTTTTTTTATTTTCAGTGTAACTTTATGTTATAAATGCTTAATTTAATATTTGTTATTATTTTCATGAGAAAAGAAACATTCCTTGTAGTTTTGGCAGTTAATGGGTTAAACCTGTTTGATGCTGTCTAATATAATTTATTTCACTTCAGGTTCAGAGATTATTATTTCTTTATTGATGTAAATTATTGATTTATTTATCTAAATTGCTTGTAATTATTGCTAAGGTTTAATAATTTAAGGAACTCGCAAACTTTTCTGAATATGGATTTATCTTCTCGTGTTCTATAACCGTTATGTGTAAATTGTACTAATGTCTATTGTGTAGTATATGTTATTGTGTTAAGTACCATATGTTTTTGTTACATAATTTATTTGCTAGTAGTAGTTACTTATTCAATAATTTGTAGAGACAGAGTTTATATTTTAAATATTTTAAAATACCGGAAAGTAGTACAAATATTTTTAAGTACTACAGTCAAAAGTCATTAATTCGGACACCCATAATCCGGAATGATCTATAATCCGGACCTCAAAGCTAAAAACTTTCTGCGCATGCACCGCGTTGACGCATGCGCATAGGCGTTTAAGCGTGAGTGTAAGACCTTTACGACTGCGCATTTTCGTTTGCACAAGCGCAGAATACGTTTTCGCTGCGCGTTTAATGTATAACGGACGGTATAAGCTAAAATTATCTAATTGTCTATTTCAGTTAATGTTGATGATTGCATTGTCCCTTAATCTTCAAATTGGATCCGGCTTATTATTTTTTGCAGACTTTAAGAGCAATTTTATAAAAGTAAGCTTGAACTTTCGATTATGTCTGCAGACTTTAAGAGCAATTTTATAAAAGTAAGCTTGAACTTTCGATTATGTCAAATAGAATTTCCGATGCTGGAGCTCCCAAAGAATCTACGAAAACGAAAGTATGTTTCGATGTCCATCAAACAAAAAGTGGAATTGCTCCAAAAAATGGATAAAGGCATATCCTTTGTTTCTCTAACCGTTCCGAAATCTGTTTATCAATTTCACGCTGCTCTGCGCAGGGGAAGGGGGAACGTGGCGACGCGCAATGAACTGGAAGTTGATCTGTCAACAATATCATTATCTTCAGGGCAGATGTTTTTATTTTATTCGGCTTATAATTCCTTATTAAATGTAGTATTTCATCTCGACGTACTTCGTCTTTGATATGATTTAAATCAAATTCCTCGTCATTGTAAATATCACGAATACAAATCAAATAGTTTTCTGGTTGCAATTTTCTAATTTCGGCTATGCATAATGTATGCTTTACGCATCCGCGCGTTGAAAGAAATGTTTAATAAAGTAAACAAATAAATATTAAGCTTTTTTTTGTAAATTTTGATACCCTTTAGATCACCTCTTTATTTTATAAATTACGGTTTCATATTTTTAATTTTATAATTTCTGCATGCCATCTTACCAGATTTAAACTGATGATCTATAATCCGGAAAAATCGATAATCTGGAATCACCGAAGTCCCGACAAGTCCGGATTAAAGACTTTTGACTGTAGCACATTTATTTTGTACTTCTAATAAATTTATGGAGAATTAGAAAGCAAGATTTAGAAGAATTTGAAAGCAAAATGACAATTTGAAAATGGAACCTATGATTCCAAAAGATCCCAGAAAAATATGATAAAGTTAAGAATATCTTTGTGGTATTAAATGTAATGAATGTGTTTTGTTGGAAATTTGTGATCAATTTCTTTTTTTTTTTTTTTTTTTTTTTTTTGTGTGTGAGAATTTTGGAGAGAGCAGGGAAAACAAAGTTATTTGAATTTTCTGGTTTTGATTCTAGAAATCTTTTTCTTAACATGCTTATCTTTCCCTTTGTTTTGTCATTTTTTTCACTAATCATGGAAAATTGCAAAAAAGGGTTCCAATCTTTTTACATGATCATGCATCTGTAGAAAGGAATGTTTCTGTTAATAAAGAAATTGGAAACTAACAGTTAAAAAGATTTATCTTATATGTCTCACTGCACACCTAAGATAACACCTACAGATAATTTCTAAGGGCGAGCAATTAGTTACATATACACAGTTAGATACTCTGAGTCATTATAGATTTACATTGTTACTAATAATTAAAAATAATTTTTAAAGTGTTTTTTAAAAAAAGCATTATTCAGATCATTGTCTAAGAACATTTCACAGTTTAAAATAACAGATAATTATGCATGTAATGTAATTTATGATATTGATTCTAAGATGAAATTAGGATAATTACGTATAAGAAACTACAAAACATATATATTTTGCAGCAATAGCACACAACAAAATATTTATACATCTTTTTAATTTCAAAATTTTCTAGATATTTTAGCTAATTTACATTAATTTTCTTTTCTTTAGCATTTTTTCTAAGTTTGTTTCAATAAACAAATCAATGTTCTTACTAGTCTCTGCTGTGGTGCTTCAACAGCCTATTAGAACTTTATATTACACTCATGTCCATAAATTAAGGATAATTCGGAGTCACATGGAAATCAAACTCTAAAATAAATATATCACCTGTAAAATCACTATACACATCTTCAAGAATCATATGCAAATTTCAGGAAGTAACCAGATAACACCGATGGTACGTCACAATGACGAGAGTGTAAGAGAGTGATATATAAGGAATACAGGCAAAGAAGTAAAATTGTTCGCAGGCGCTTTATAAGCATTTCAGTGCAATAACCAAATAGTTATGACACAAAGGGCGCATTTGGGTGATTTTTTACGTGGTAGAATTATCGGCCGTCTGGAATGTGAGCGTACCCAACTGGAAGTATCAGACGAACTTGGAATAGCCCAGAGTGTCATCTCCAGGCTTTGGCAATGATTCCAAGATGATGGCAATGTAAGTAGACGTTACAGCACAGGTCGCCCCAGAGTTACAACGCCAAATGAGGACCGGTATTTGGCAGTTACTGCCAAAAGAAACAGGCGGAGCACAGCCTCAGACCTGTGTCGTCAGCTCTCTTCAGCCACTGGTACAACAATTTCAAGGCGGACCATGTACAGACGCTTAGGGCAGATTGGTCTATATGCTCGTAGACCTGTCAGATGCGTTCTACTTACTGCAACTCACTGTCACCTGCGGTTAGCCTGGAGTAGAGAGCATGCATTGTGGACACCGCAACAATGGGCTTGTGTGATGTTTTCTGATGAGTCCAGGTTTAGCTTGCAGTCTGGTTCTCCCCGGACTTTCATATGGAGAGCTTCAGGTACCCGTTACCACCAAGAAAACATCATTGAATGACACCGTTACAGTGGTGCAGGCGTGCTCGTTTGGGGTGCAATTATTCTGGGTTCCAGAACTGACCTGCATGTTCAAATTGGAACCATGACAAGTCAAATCTATCGGGACGTCATTCTGGAACAACATGTACATTTGTTTCGGGGCGCCATAGGCGCACAATTTGTGTTTATGGATAACAACTCCCGTCCTCACCGTGCAAACATCGTAAGCGAATGCCTTCAATCGTAGGATATCACCCGTATGGACTGGCCAGCATTCTCACCGGACTTGAATCCAGTAGAGCACGTGTGGGACATGCTTGGCGGCCGACGAGTTGCAGCCCATCAACCTCCTCCTACATGTCTACCGGAACTTTGGAGAGCATTGCTTTTTGAGTGGTGTAATATCCCCCAAGATCAGATCAATAATTTGATACTCAGCATGCCTAGGCGTTGTACGGACTGTATTGCATCATCTGGGAGACATACAATGTATTAACAATCATACCAACCATGTAATATTGTTTTTTTGTAAATAGGTTGTTTTTTTGGTAATTTGCTCCAGGGAGAAAAAATCGCTAATTTTTTTAATAATATCAAACATATAGCATCTTTTTTTGCTCTTTACCTTTTGTTTAACAAATAAGCTTTACAAATGAGTCAAATTTATTTTGCTTCTAACTCTTCCTTTGCCTGATTTTGCATTATCCTTAATTTATGGACATGAGTGTAAATAATGTATATTAACTGGATTATGACTCCAGCAACTGTACATGAAGCTACTTCACTAACTGGGTCATACAGACAAAATACAACTAACTTTCAGCACTTGCCAGTCATACCAATGTCAGGCATTCATGTCTGTTCTGATCAGCATCTCTATCCCTCTCTAAGCAAGCAGGAACAGTGGCAGCCGTTCACTGGTTTCATGCACTCATTTACAACGTAACATGCAACACGCTGAAATTTTGGTTCACAGTCATTGCCACACCAATGAAATACAAATTCCAAATGATTCTTGTCATATTTATGAAAAATATTTTTTTCTTTGAACAGTTATGAGTACCAATAGATGGTTCTTCAATGCTTTAACATCACTGATTATAAGTATCATAATCATATGCTGGTTCTGCAGTATTAGCATTGCCTAGATAAAAAGTATCACCATGTTCTTTTCTTTTCAAATACCCATTTCAGAATCAGTTTTCCATTATGAACCATGGGCACTCTGTACCACGACAACTCCTTATGCCTGTGGTGTAAAAAGGATTTCAAACAACTACACATTTTGGATAACAGACAAACAGCAAATCAGGCATGCATATAATTTATGTTACTTGTGATTGGCTACAAAAAATTCAGTGCTAGGTATGCTGCAAAAAGATGGTAAGAAGCACCACACTTGGTAATTGGTAATAAATTTTATCTTTTATTTTTTTTTTAAATCTTTTTTGGAAATCTAGGAGGCCATAGATTAGAAAATACTACTTTAGCCCATACAATCACTTAACATGTTGATAGAAGTGGCTTTAAAATTTATTGTTTAATACATTTGATTAGCCATTCTTTAAAATAAAATAACCCATTTGCTGTTCAAAACAACATGAAAAGCAAGAGAGAGATTAAAAATGAGAAGAGGAGGAGGAAAAAAAAAAAAAAAAAAAAAAAAAAAACAAGACTATTTGAAGTTGAGTGGGTAGCCTATTGACAAAAATTCTTTTAGAACTATGTAAACTAATATGGTTCTAAGTATTTGAGTCACTTTGAATCTTCAAATTATAATTTTAATTGTAGATAGAAAAATAATCTCCATTTTTGTCTGTGAGCATTACCAGTTTTTTTTTTTTTTTTTTTTTTTTTTAAGTTCTTTTGCTATTTCAAAATTAGTATTTATACTATTCTTTGTGAAAAATAAACTTAGCAAATGATATCAAATTTTATTGATGGAAATTTATGGAAAGAAAGTACACTTCTTTCATTACCATTATAAATTTTTTTAAAATAAACAATCTTTCTTCATGTTGCAATAATAAATATTTGAAATTTTATTTTTAATCTTTTCTCTTTCTGTGATGGTTTTTGTGTTATTATTAATTAAAATTATTTTATGTATTAAAATAAATCTTGTATTCTCTTTTGCAATATGCACATTGCTTGTACACTATAACCAGAATAAAATATATAATTGATTATAATTATTAAGTAAACTTAAATCAAGACTTTATATATATTTTCTATTGTTAATTTTGTATTATATTTATTTTTCAAGTAAAAATTAATTCTAAATTTTTTTGTCTTTGTGAATTATAGTTGACAGAGGCACTAAATGCTGTAATCAATCATGAAACATTTTCTGAAGATGACTGCAAAAGAATGTTTTCAACAAGTATTGGATTATTATATAAAGTGAGCAGTATTCAAGTGAAATTTGAATTTTATAAATGTTAGTTTTTAAAAAAGGAGTTAAAAGAGTTTTTTTTTTTTTTTTTTTTTTCTTTTTTTTTCTTATTCTTCCAGAATGGTGCTGTAAACTTGTCTATAAAATTAGCTTCCCTTATTTATCAAAAATTTTCTACTAATCCTTCATGTTTGGAATTTTTATGTAGAGCAGCTATGAACTTATATATTAGTAAGTTTGTTTTTATTTTCTATTTCTAAATTATTTGAACATATTATTTCAGAATCTAATTGGTATTATTTTGTAAACTGCAAATTCCATAGTTGCAAATAATAACCTCCATTTTATCTTTCTTGTTTTCAGTTAGGGAAACTAAGAGTTTGAGTAATGTCTTGTAAGTTCCTGAGCTTACAGGACATAACATAAACTGGGATCAAAAGAATTAAAAATTTTAATAATTCATTTTAAATTTAAATATTGTTATTCATTTTTAATTTAAATATTATTGAATTTTTCATAATGTATTGTGAAAAGTCAGAAGAGAAGGTGAAGCTCTGCCAGAAAAAAAAGTTAGAGGGTCAAATCTATTTAACATTGAGGTAAATGGCTATCTCGCTAAATTTGCGAGATATTGTTAAGCTGATGATGGTTTTCTGCAACTAATTTTTACCATCAAATTTGGCGACCAATTGGCAACATTTTGGTTCAGTCCCTGTGAATTGAATTATTCTATTTCCCGTCGATAGCTATATATATCAATAAAATAACACCACACATATTACAGAAATAACACACTCTAACTTTCAATACCTTTATTTTCCAAAGCGACACTCTGGCACTAAGTTTCTTTCTTACAGTGTAACATATGAATCGCAACTTCAAATATACAATAAAATCAAGTTTCTTGCAGACTATAATTCAGCGCTGATTCTGGTGGCACATGTGCTATTAGACAAGATTCTCATCTGTCGCCAAGTATTTCTCAGCTAGTACAACACACTCCCAGTGTTGAAATTAACAATTTCAAAACTATTATTACAATAAATGTAAATATAAATACATTACAATAAAATACTTCACAATAACAAATCACAATATTGAAGAATATACATTCAAATTATTACAACAAATACCAGTTTATAATAGAGATAAACAATCATTCTACAGAAAGTATACATATATCTCGAACATTTCATTTTAGCAAATGTTGATTAGGCAATCTTACAGTTACTACTCTTATTTTGTTATCTCTACCATGAAAAACCTCAGCAATTCTTCCCACTAACCATTTGGTTGAAGGAAAATTTTCATCTTTTATTAATACAAGAGTTCTCAACTGAACGTCTTCCTTTAAAAATTTCCACTTGTGACATTCTTGTAAATTATTAAGATAATCACGTTTCCATAATTTTAAAATTTTTTGTGTATACTTAGTGATTTTTTGCCATTTAAAAAGTCTGTTTTCATTTATGTTGGGTAAATCTGGCTCAGCAAGAGTTGTGATAAGGTCTACCAACCAAAAAGTGACCTGGAGTCAAAGTTTCAAAATTGTTGTAATCAGCTGAAATTGGAGTATATAGAGGTCTTGAGTTCGATACTCCTTCAATTTCCGTTAAAGCAGTTAAGAATTCTTCTATAGTTAAGCACTGATTACCAATATCTCTCTTAAATGATCGGCCTCCCAAATTCCGCCAAAATTTGGCGACTTTGGAGAAATAAATTTCTACTCTATACCTTCAGTGATATAAAAACTCGCTAAATTCTCATCTGGACACTCAACCAATTTTTGCAATTTTTTGAGTTCTCCACTAGTACTTTTGAGGTTTGCACTTTTACCTCTTTTCAATTGATTCATTTCTTCTAGAAACTCACTTTTTTGGGCCTTTAATAAAATATACACCTCAGCATCCTTTATCTCTTCTAAAGTAATTACTCCATACCTCCTTACCTGGCAGTTTTTAAGATTGTAGATAAAGCTTAAAATGAAACTTACAATACGAATAAGTTTAGTATAATTAGAAGACAAATTAAGAATATCATTAAAGAGGTTTGGTTCATTACATGCAATTAAAACTAAGTTAGAATCGTTGTGCAGTTCAGTGTCCTTTTTAAGTTCATTTGAGCACACTTCTTCAGCAGTCTCAATTGGTAAGTCCTGATAAGGAGCTGAGCATGTTAGAAAGTCACAGCATGACTACCTTTTGGAACAGTTCAAAAGAAAGTCAGTTTGAACACCATGCGTCACTTGTCAAATCCGCCATACTGCTCTATTGAACATTTTAATTGTTTGTAAATATCTTCACCTTTTGTTGTTCCATGTAATGATTGTAATTTTAAAAGTTCTTCGGAATAATTATAGTTTTCATTTACAGTTTTTTTAAAGATAAGCATTTGACTTATATCGGAAATGTCTGTGCTTTCATCCAATGCTACCAAAAAATCACAGCAACTATTGATTAGGTTTTCTAATTTATTAGTGGCATGCATGCTAATCTCGTTTACACGTCAGCTTACAGTCTGGTGAGAAAGTGATACTGTTTGAAATTTTCTTACCATTTCGTTGTCATTAAATGCTTGAGCCATTTTTATGGCACATTTTTTAATAAATTCTCCATCCAAAAATGGCTTCTTTGCCTTTACTATTTCTAAACAAACTTCAAACGATGTGGCTACAGATGCTTCTTGAAATTTTGGTTCTAGATTAAAATAATTCGTTTGATGATCCAGCTGCTTTTTAATTTTTTTCACTAGTGGTATTTTCATATCTCGCGTGTACGAATGATACTTTTGTTCATGCATGGAAAGGTAATGGCGCTTCAAGTTATATAGTCTTTACACACAGCTATGATTTGTAAACATTCCAAACACTGTGGTTTACCATTCTTGTTCAAAAAAAAAATCTATCTCCCAGCGATCTTGAAATTCTCGATTTTCGAGGTCTATTTTTCTTTTATTAGTAGCACTCATATTCAATAATTGTTTTAGTTAATAAATAAATGGGAAATTAAGTTAATAGTATTATAACACAGTCACCTCTCAACAAATTCTAGACAATACTGCACTCGCACGATTGCATGAATCAACCAAATAGTGCAGGGTGGTGTGCACATCATGTGCACCAACCACAGATAAACAACAACCAACCACAAATATAATATGTGGCGCCAACATTGAGCAACCATCATCATATATTAAACGAATTGCTGCTGTATTCAGCCAGGTTAAGTGAATTACGCAAACTAAATAGTACTTACTTTAAATTCAGATTAGATTTAAATTTTCACATAGTAAAATAATTTTAATATTAATAATAATAATGTAGTAACATAAATTTATCCATAGTAAAATGTACTCGCTGGCCGTAAAAATAATTTGGCAGGCCGTATACAACCCACGGGCCGCCATTTGGACAGCCCTGCTGTGGAGATAGAAACCCGAGAAGACACAATGGAAGGATGGGCACTACTGTATTGGATGATGTAGCATTAAATGGCCGATCTGTCAAAGACGTGTTGGCTGAAGAAGATGGAGATTGGGAAAATAATTGAGCTATCTTATAGCTTGCTTTATTGAATGGGTAGCATTAGAATATGTTATCAACATTATCATTTGAATTTTATTGCCTGTTATTTGTTAATTTGAATAGCCACAAGTGGTGGTTATAGTCTGTAACAAAAGTTGTGCCTTTTTGTTTAAGTTAGATTAAAATAGAAGTTTATTTAAAACCTTTTCCTATACTTTGTGAATCTCTGAGATGTAGCAATAGCTCATTATCTTGTCTAGTAGGTTCTGCGGGACTTAAATTTATTTCACTGGTAATAACAACCGTACAAGTTTATAAATTTAAAAGAAAAATTTTACCTTTTAGTGAAGCAAATTGTATTCTTTAGACTATTGTATGAGTGTATTGTATGAATTAGTATTTTACTATGTAAATGAACTTATCTTAATCAAGCATCTTGCATATTAATTTTCTTTTAATTTTTTATTGAATAAATTTTATTATTATTTGGGTTTTGTATAAACTAAATGTGTGATATAAGTTATCATTATTTTTAGTGTTTATTCTAAATATATTATTTATATTTTAATATAGGCAAAAAATAAGAAGATTTAAAAATTGTTGACATCTACATCTTTTCATTTGGATCAGTTGATGAAATATGAGTATGGTTTAAGTGAAACCATGATTTTTCTCAGTAGTTGATCTTGACCGAGAAAAACTATAAAATTATCTTTCATTTTTAAAATATCTTACAATTAGTGTATATTATTAAAGTTTTACTTTTTTATTATGATTTCTAATCTTTATGTTGCCTATTTTACTTTTATATTTTCTTTTACATTATCTAACCTCTGATATTCTGTATGTGTATTCATCGTTTTACAGATAATGGATCTATAATGGATGGCATAAATGAAATAGCTAAAAATTTTAGAGAATGCAAACCATCAGAAGGCATTACATACATTTTTGAAGGATTCATGTCATTCATTTCTAAGGATTATGTAGAAGCTATTCAAAAATTAAACAGAGGTAATATTTTTAACTGATTTCTCATTTAATGTAGAATCAGGTGTACTCCAACTGCACTAATGAAAATCCCCCCTGGGTCGAGCTATAATAGTCCAAATGCGCCAATCAAAATTTCTTCCCCCTGCTGCCTACAGGGTTACAATTTAACTTTTCAAAGCCAATTGTAGCCAAGAGGAAAATAAAAATAAATAAATAGAATTGTATATCACAAGAACAAGTAAAAAATATCTAACAAGCAGGCTAATTACTTGAATAACAGTAATAAATGCGAGAGCTAACAAAGAAAATAAAAGGTATTGGTAAACATATATATTAGCATTACAAACATCTTTCATTTATTATAATAATATCATAAATTAAATAATTATAAAGCATACAAATTATATTTTTAATGCATTACATCAATAATAGAGATGTCTGAAGTAGACTGGAAAATTTAATAGAGTTCACTAGTGTGCAAAAAAATTATTCCATATCAAAATGTGTTTAAAGTGTGCTAAAATATTTTTTTTAATTAAAGTAATCATATAAATGTTTGCAGAAATTAAGTTTAGTTAAATTTAAAAAAAGCTTAGCATGAAATCTATTATAAAAACATTACTATGCATTTGGAACACTGACGTATAAATCATAAATAAATTTAAATTATTATGCTAAGAAGTTTTTTCTAAAATTTATCTAGAAGAAAGGAATTGGATAAAAATACTGCAAATTAATATAATCAATCAGGCCTCTCAATGAATATAAGTTTATTTTTTTAACCAAAAATTAAAAACTGGGATGCAAAAGTTTGTGTAATATACTTGGAAATATCAGGAACATATAACTAATTGGAAATGCATAATTAAATTAATAACAAGCTAATTAACAATAACATTAAGCTTAATTTCATTCAATCTAAAACAAGCAATTGATCAGGAGCTCCGCGTAACTGAAGTTTTGATGCTATTTTACGTAGATTTGCGTATAAAATAAAAATTGCACTTGTGAAACAAGTGAATAATGAAACAGGAATTAAAATACAGTGGTTAAAAATATAACTACTTGTCAGAAGGTATGCAAAGTTGCCATGGCTAGAGAAATTGAATGATTATAGAAAACTCATAAAGTTAAGCGCTACAGTGTGAAAAGAAAATTCTGCAATAAACATGTTAAGAAAATTAGATGGAGAAATAATCTTTAATTTATTGATATCCATATAAACTCTATGCCTTTGAAAAAATGTTACATATAATTTGCACCGAGGTATCAATCACCGAAACCGAGTTAATTTCTTTCCTTATTTTTTCTTATTAGAGGGATTTGTAAAGAGACATGCTAAGGTAAAAGTGAAAACTTTTGCAATATTTTTAAAGAATAAATTAAAAATGTACTTTTACTTCATGAACTGAAATTTTTACGCTACATTTTTACACAGTAAATAAGTAAAAAAAAAAGAAATAGCTGGGGGATCACTGGGACTAGAAACTCGGGTCGAACTACCAATGTTTAGTGACTTTTCCGCTTGATCATAAGACCTTTTGAAATTAGGCTGAACAATATATTAAAGAAAATAGAAGATACAGCAGACATAAGAACAAAAGTGGGCTGAATTAGAGATTTACATGTTTGATGAATGAGTTAAACTTACCCGTATGCCATTATGAAATATTAGGAATGTAGCATAAAAGCATGAGGGAAGAAGGCAATGGCAATATAAATCATTGTAATCTAAATGTATAACATTATCAGTCTCTGCTATTAATTTCAATACTGCTGAAAAAATTATAAATGAATTATGTTATAAATCACACTAACTCGTTGCATTATAAATTACAAAAGTTAGAAATACTATTAGCGTGCTTTAGCGACCATCTTTGTTAACAAATAATTTCAAGTAATTAATTTTACAAATAATTTAGCCTGAAACTAGGTTAGAAAATAAGCTGCATGCTGAAGATTAAGCTTTACCAAGGTGTTAGATATATCTTTTCTTAACTAGAGTTATGATGCAAAAATTCTTAAAAATTATCATTTAAATATAAATTGGCATAAATACAATACAAAATATGTAAATTCGACATGCATGAAAACTTGAGTACAGTGCAACAATATGTGAAAAAGGAATGGATTAAAAGGGAACTGAAAATCCCAGGATATGAATATAAGGAAGTTTGAGTTTTTTTTTTTTTTTTTTAATTATGAAAATTCTGCTGACGCTCATAATTATTAATTTATTAATTAAATGTGTATTAGAAATTAAATGTATGCGAAAGTACATCAAGTGGAAAACAGAATAAATATTTAAACGTTTCTAGTATTAAAATATGGAATTTGTAACAAAGTTAAATAACCTTAAAATAACTTCCATGACTAAAAATGGGAAGCTTAATACGGGAATATATTGCAATAATATTAGTGTGAATTGAGAACGACTTAAGAAGTCCAATTTTTAGATTTAATAAAGAGAATTTTTTTAATTAAATTAGAACTGTTTACCTAAAATGGTAAATTTGAAAGTTAAAACCATTATGCTATCTAAGAAGATTTGTTAATATTTATCTAGACAAGAAACTATTTAAGATGAGCTACAAATCGGATATTTGATACATTGATTATGTATCAGTTTTGTGTATGTCATTAATCTTATCAATTTTACTATTCAAAACTGATTATATATATATATATATATATATAATGTTGTATGATCTTAAATTCATCAGCGACTAAAATCTACAACTTGGAATGTTTTTAATTCTTACAGAGAATAAAAAAGATCTGGCTCATCATTCCTTTAAGCATCATAAAACACTCATTTTAGTGTAAAAGAAATTTATTTTTACTTTAGCACACGCCAGACTTTAAATTAATATTTGTTTTGCATGCACAATTTTTACGATATTGATAAATGAAAATAAAGGCTTGCAGTCTCAATAGAATGTCCCATTAATGGCGATAAAGGACTTTTTGTAGCACCCAATCTTCGTGGTAAAGAAATAGGGGACAGGAAACGTGCAGTTCGTGGATTAGATAACAGGGGGAACGGGGATCTTCGATCAAATTTGGCGCAGTTCGTACCCTACCGTAGAGTCAAACTTCTTAATTCTTATTTTATTTTTTATTTATATCCAAAATGCAGAGGACACAACTTTTGTTATAGATGATCATAGCATTTACAAAATCCCTCAAATTTGGTAAATTCTTTGCACATATGTGAAGATAATAGAAAATTTGTTTTGTCACCAGTATTCTCTTATATAGATTACATTACGGTTATTTATTTTAAATAAATATATATATATTAAAGCAAATTGTAAAGTTTCCATAACTGCACATTGAAAATATTGTTTTGTTTAATAAACTTCCATTACCTGAAGGTATACAGTCAAAAAATAATAATAAATAAATAAATAAATAAGGATTTTCTTGGTAATTTTCAGTTTTTTTACTATCTTGTGATTTTTACGCAAAATAGTTTGCTAATATTGTCATGCTGTCATATTAAAATTTTCAGTTTATTAACTGACAGTCCTTTCTTAAATGGTAGAAGAGAACAATGGAATTTTGATTTTTTTCCCTAAATTGATCTAATGTGATTCAGCAAAAAAAGGAGAAAAGAAAAAGATATAATTTGCATACTTTTTATTTATTTATTTTGTCTTCTAGTAGTTTGTGTAAGACTCTTGAAATATATTCATTTGTTCTGAACTCCGTGCTTAACAAATGGATTGGCCACATGAGTTTTTCATTATTTTTGTGATGGGTAACTACAAAGTGAACAAGTTGTTCTCAAAAAATTCCTTCACAAAGGTGTTCTTTACACTTGATTGATAGCCCTTTTATGTTTGTCTGTAATTGGTTAATCAGTCCATGAAATTTTAAAACTCACTTTTAAAAGCCTTTTGGTAGAAAAATTGGAAAATAAAATCAAAACTTAAGTATTTAAATAAATAATATTTTTAGAGTTTTAAAAATTTTAATTTAAAATTATATTCTTGCGTTATGTTATTGAATAACAAATGCTGCAGTTTTATGTGCTATTTAATATTATTAATATAGTGCACATCAAAGGAATCGTGTGCAGTAGTGCATATTGTAATAAGTTGTTTTTGTGATGTTGTCTTTGAGAATAGGAAATGATCAGTTTATCATCTAACTCATGAAGTGTACGTACAGAAATGTATACATAGAAAAGATTGTAGCTAGCGATTTGTTTTCCCTTTTTTAGAGTATTAGAAACAAATGGAAAATAATTTTTTATGTTTAGAAAATATTTTTTATTAACTTGATATGTTATTTGAATATTAAATGAAATTTTATATGAATTTTCTTTCTTTCTTTTCTTTTCTTTTTTTTTTTTAGGTCTTAAATCTGTGGAATACTGTTTGCAAGGTTGGTATTTATTAGCAAAAACTCAGATATTGTTGCATCAATATGCTGATTCTGAGAAGACATCTAAGACAGGTATTATTATCATTATTATAATAAAAATATGAACATATTTTATCATTTCAATTTGGTGGAGGGGAATAACTTAAATGGGGGAAAAATTATCTCTCTTATGGGAAATGAAAACTGTATAGGTAATTTAAAAGTCTATAAATTTAACTTTTAAAAGTCTATAAATTTATAAATTATCCATGCAGTTTTCAAAATAGTCAAATATGGTAATTTTCAAAAGTGCAAAGGAACTGCATAATTGGAAAAGAATGTGAATTAATGGCATTGATATTATTGATGCCTTTCAATTTAATTTTTATGCAAAGCTATCCATAATTTTATTGATTAAAAAAATCTGATATAATTGAGTTAAAAAATGATGGAGACCCGTATTAATATAGAATATAGTAACGTCTCTCCTTTTTCTCTATGTAGAAACTTTGAGAATAGGAAATGATCAGTTTATCATCTATCTCATGAAGTGTTCTTACAGAAATGTATACATAGAAAAGATTGTAGCTTGCTATTTGTTTTCCCTTTTTTAGAGTATTAGAAACAAATAGAAAATAATTTTTTATGTTTGGAAAAGGAGGCAAATTTCTTTAATAACCTGTAATATTTTCATGTATTAAATGATCTGATTTTAATGCTTACAACTAGTGTTTGAATTATATGTAATTTTTTTTTAATCTTGTGAAACTATTTTATTACATAAATTTTTTGCTGAAGCATATGTGTATTATTATAGTAATTCTTCGCATATCTCTATTGTACTTATGAGTAGGAAATAAAGATTAATTTAAATTAATATCTAAATTAAAATACCAATTTGGTCATTCAAATAAAAATTAAAATTATGTGCAATTGCAGTTTATACTCATTATATATGCAGTATACTTGCTTTGAAAAAAAATTAATAAATTATCTTATTATTTACCTTAGCTCTTGGCTTATAGTTCAGATAAAGCTCATTTTAAAGAAAAGGGAAAGATGTTAGTATGCTTCACTCTGGTTTATAACATTAAAAGTGAACATTAGCTGTAATTAAGAAAATTATTAAATTCATTTATTGCAGAAAATGTTAATCCTTTCCCCAAATTTAAACCAAAAACTGAAATGAATAAGGACTTCAATTACAAAATCTTTGAAATATTATGTGTTTGTTATGTATAAATTATATTATGTGTTATTCTAGCTATTAATACAGGGTGATTATAATTAAAGTTGCGATTTCAAAACACACTAACTTTAAAACTACAGGTCAGAATGACTTGTATTTTACCAGAACAATCCTGAGATAATGGAATTTTGTTTGGTGAAAGAAAAAACTAGTTCCAGAATTTTTTGATAGATGGCGCTGCTAGTGTCCACATTGCTGTTGTGGATGTATAACCGAAAGGAAACAATAGTCTCTAAGAGTTTACGACAATTTTATTAGCGAAAAGACAAGAATACATATTTACAGAGAAAGTAGCGATAATGAGAAGAGAAGCTTCACGGAACAAACACCTTGTGGATGATTAATGCATAAGTTGTTCAATATGCTCTCCTCCTTGTTCCGTTGCTAACTGGAAGTGCAAAACTGTATGTTCCTCAACAGATCAAAGGGTACCTGTGCTGATGCTATGAATGTGGTGAGTAATGCTTGTCTTCAGATTCTCCAGATTCGCAATCTGCTCACTGTAAACAACCTTCTTCAGATATCCCCAAAAGTCACACAGGTTTAAGTCCGGAGAGCTGGGTGGCCATACTGTTGGAAAACGGAGGCTTATGTTTCTGTCATCTCCGTAATGAGTTATCAGCAGCTGCATCATACGAGTAACAATGTGCTTCATAGGAGTAACAATGCATGAATATTGTGCAATCTACATACTGATGTTGGTGAAGTGGCAGAAGGACATGGTTATACAAAAGTGCTTCATGCCACTTGCCAGTGATGGTGCTGATAAGGGGACCCGCAGGTGTGATCTCCTCAAAAAAGAATGGACCGACGACAAACGCTGATTGTATTCTGCACCATACAGCAACCTTTTCAAAGTGAAGAGGTAATAGCTGCAATGGGAACGGATTCTTGGTTGCCCATGTCTTGCAATTTTGGATATTTACGTCCATCCATATTACATCCACATCCATCTGGGCAAGAAATTGTAGTGCAAACGATTCACGTGTTTCCAGGTCAGAAGGTAGCAACTGCTGCATGTGAGTTATCTTATACGGATAACAGCGCAAGATGTTCCATAGACTGTAAGCACTGTGCTGATAGGCATATTTAACATTCGATCACTGCCCTGCTGATTCCGTGCACTGCTGATTTCTGCATCACTGTTCATCTGTTCTTGCAATGCAGTGGCCACATTTTCCATTGCCGCCATCGAAACTGGTTTTCGTCCTCTACCTCATTTCCCATCAAATGAACCGGTCTGTTTGAATTTTTCTATCATTTTCCGTAGGCCATGTGTGATCAATGGGCCAGATTTTATGCCTTTTAATGTCCAGAACTTCCTGATAGCTGTTAGCGCACAGTTTCTATTCTGATAAAGAAAACTTCAAGAGAAGAGCAGGATCTTCTTCATCAGAGTCATGATGAAGCACTCAGGCAAAATGTTATGTCTGTCCTGCATTTTTATTTTAGCCATGCCTGAGTATGCATGTTATGTCTTAGTAATTTGCATACCAACAGAATTGTGAACCCTGACAGCGCTATCTATCAGCATATTTTGGCAATTTTTTTTTTTTTTTTTTTCCCTTTTCCAAACAAAATTCCATTGCCTCACGATTGTTCTAGAAAAATATCAAGTCATTCTGACAAGTAGTTTTAAAGTTACAGAGTTTTTAAATCGCAACTTTAATTATAATCACCCTGTATATTGTAACTATTTTTATTATGTTTATTATCTTGAATTATTTGATTTATTTTAGGTGTAGAAATTTCATTGAAATCTAATCCTCCTTCCTATGTAATTGGTAAATTTTACCTGTTACTAGGCCAGGCTTCCAGTAGGCGGCAAAACTGGGATTCAGCTCTAAAAGCTTTTGAAAAAGTTTGTTATGTTTCCGTTTTATTTTCCTGTGACATTTTTTCATTGTGTGGATGGCATTATTAATAACTGATGTGGGGGAAAAATAATTGTTTTATGCTTAAATTGCTTTTTTAATTACATGAAATTTTAATTTTTGCATTCAGTCATTTATTTAACAATGTGTTCAAATTGTCAATAATTTAAATAGCTTTTCGTAGCATTCTGATTTTAAAAAAATTAGCATAATTTAATTTACTTTGCTGGGAGGGGTTGAACAGGAAAAATATATTCATGCATACCATGTAACTGAGCATGAGTATTTTAGATTAAACTTTATTTGTAGTTGTGACTGGTGGTCTCAGTCACATTATGGTCAAATAAAATTATGTCAGCTTTATGGTTAAGTAGATATTGTCTACAGCTGGCTAATAGTTTCAGATAATTCAATTGACAGAGTGTAGTCCTGTATTTAATTTTCTGCTGGATGGGCATTCAATTAGGGTCTAGATTGTCACAAAGTAACTTTTAAAAATAATCAGTAAGCAATTGTTCATTATTTTAGCATAAAAGTTAAATAATGAAAAATTGGAGCTTTTAATTTCTAATATATTAACATTTTTTATAACTCCTTAAAATTGTATTTATAGCAAAATGGGAGCAAAATAAAGTAAATGATTTTGGTATGCATTTCTTTCTTAATAACAACAGTAATAAAATTTATCATATTAAATAAATAGCATGCTTACTGCATGCTGGGTTTAAAGGAAAATATGAATGTATTTCTTATTTTGAAATGAAGAGTTCTGATACTGTGTATATTGGTCTAGTAAAATGAACATGCTCAATCAAATGGAAGTATTATCTATTCAGATTTAATGCTACACTGAAGCATAATGGAAGAAAAAGGCCAATATCAAAACTGTACTACGTCATCTAAATTATTATGCATGTAATTATTATTCAAAAATAAATTCATTCATTCATGAACCTGCACATCAAAATGTGGGTGTTGCTTTTAATAAATAAAAATACTTAAGAAAAAGGAATGATAAGCACAAAAGATGTTATATTGGTATTTAAAACCCTGGTGTGCTTAAATAGATCAAGATAGTGTTCCTTAATTGCCCAACTGCCTATACATTCCATACTCAGAACACTGCTATCAGTGTGAGCAGTTTAGGCATATGAAAATTTCTTATGAAACCCTACATATACTCATTCTTCTTCAAACAATGATGGTGAACTTGTGTGGTATATTTGTTCTGTGTTAATTTCCAACGTGAACTTTTATGATAGAATTTATTCCAAATACAATCTGAAGCAAATTAAAATCATTAAAAATTATGCCAAATATATCTTCCCAAAAGTCCAGATTGATAGAAATATCTGACAATCCCAACCAAGAATATCATGCTGCTAAATCTGCTTAATCTACCTTGGCACAGAAATTAATTACTGTTGCTAAAGTACAACATACAGATTTCAGCAGTCCTTAAACAACAATGTACTGAAGTAGTATACAGATCATTAATATGTTAAATGTGTAGTAAAACTAAATAACAATAGGAAAGAAGGAAAAGAACAAATATTGAAATGAAATAGAAGTTCAAGAAGCCCCAGTTACACTTCTGTAGCAAACATGAATTCAGGGTTCATTGATTCTGACAAAATAGACTTGGAGAAATATTTTTCTCTTCCTAAACATCTTTTAACATACCAATAAAGGAATGTGTTAAAATTCGTTTAAAACATGTTAAAGGAAAATTCTATTGAGATGTTGAGGTATAAAAATAAAAATATGTTTATTATAAAATTCATGTCTGTTAAAATTCAGAACTTTTCAATTTCATAAACCTTTTACATTCATATTTATGTTTATGAGATTTTGAATCAACTCGAGATTTTTTTTTTTCACATTCATTCACAATGAAAATATATTACACCTCAACTTGTAGGTTTAGTGGGTAAAATTCATCATTACTACTTTCCAACTGATTTATAATTCCTTCTTGTAAACATTGTTTCGACATTCTTAAGATAGTAAAAATTTTAAATTGTAATATCCATGCAAAGAAAATGCAGAAGAAACTTCCAAGGTTATCTAGTTCAATATGCCGAAAATCAGTATGTAAGGCAAAGTGGAGAAAGATGTCTGGGACACTGCAACAAAATTCTGTGGCTGACTGAACCACTACCCCTTTGTCTAGCTTCTCTCTTCACACACCATCAGTGTCCCCCTCCCCCCCAAAAAAAGTCTATATATGAATGTATTGGTAAAAAATGGGTTGGTAACTATATGGCCACATACAAATACAGTGGTAAAACCTATTGTGGCAACTATATAGCGACATATGACATCAATGGTAAAACATGCCATGGCAATTATATGGCAACATATAAGTGCTAAGGATTAAATACGAAGTGTGAGGCCATATTTGTTCTTTTAACATAAAGAGTAATTAGCTTAGTTAAGTCCCTCTTTTTTTAAGCTTATTTTTGTTAATTAATATCGTATTAAAATATAAGTTAAATAATTTCATGACCATTTATTTGTCTCTGCTCTAAGCTTGTGAATTTGGGCACTGAACATCTTATAAATTGCAAAATATAATCTGTGCTTGTTTTTTCACATAATATTCCTTCATATTTTATACTTTTTTATCCATTCATGTGGTAAATTCATAGATTTCAAGAATTGCATTGCAAATGCTGTCACGTATCCGAGACATGTAACTATATTGTTGTGTGTAATTACTGTCTGGGAAAAAAATGTTAATGTAATATTTTGCTTAATTACTTATATTACAATTAAAATGTATACTTTTTCTTGTTATAGAGTGTTAAATATTTAGGACAATCTAAAGAAGTGTTGATAAGCTTTTGTTTCACTTTGCTTGGAATGCAACAGGTAGACAAAGCAGAAAAGGTATTTTTTTTAATCTTTTGAATTCTTTTTATAATTGTGTTATATCAATATAAAATATATGAATTTAAGTAGCATGTGTTCATTGCCATTATAATTTTTCAAAGCTGTAAATTCTGTGGTCTGTAAATATATTCAATTCAGATAAGCTTTTTAAAAAATATATAGATATCGATATTAACTAGTGAATAAAAGACGGCTGATCTTTTGGAATATGGTAAAAGTTAGTTTGGCGACATTTTGGAGGCGATAAAGGTTACTACCTAGGACTTTGGTAATAATGTGAGACGTACTCAGTTCCGATTACGCATTATTTTGTGTGAGGGAAATGAGAGATCATGAGATATGTCATGTGACATTAATGGACGAATTACAGTTCTTTAATCGGAAAAGGGGGTAAATTTGGAATTATTTTGTATTAAGCTTCATTGTGTGTTGTGGGAAATAGTGTTGATTAATTTTCGGATTGCATGGCGCTATGTAAAGTGAATTCTAAATTTTTAATGTGTTTATCTGATAATAATAATAAGTTGAGATTGTGTGAAAGGAAGGATATTACAGATAAGTTTGAATGGCGGTGCAAGAAATCTGGTGAAAATGGACATTTTGTGAAACGGAGTGTAAGGAAGGGTACGTGGTTTGCTGAAAGTAGTTTGAGTATGGGTGAAATTTTATTAATTTCTTATTGGTGAATAGACTGCCAGTTGACTACTGGATTTCGGATTTAGAAATTAGCAGTAGTACTGCAGCCGATTGAAACTCTTTCTGTAGGGAAGTGTGTGTGCCACGTAATGAAGATTCTGAAGAAGATTAGGTAAGTTAGTATTTTTAATCATTTGAGGATATTATTTTTATGCATTGTTCTAAATGTAAGGAGTAAATAAATTAATATGGTATTATTGGAAAATTGTTATTAGCGATGATTTAGTTTAAAGTAATTAGGATTATAATCTAATTTTTATTAATTTAATGTATGTGCTTATTTATATTTTAAGTAGTGTTTTTTAATTTAATGATCATGATTTTGTGAGTTATATTTGTAGTATTTTGGAATACGTTTGAGTAGTATACGTTGAGTATTTTCATGCATTTTCATGAAATTTTTCTAATTTATGAGAAAAAAGCAGTGTACATGGATGGATATAGTGAAGAGTGTGCGCAATGCCATTTTTGTGCAATTCTGGGATTTTTTTTAAGTAAAAATAAGTCAGCGTGTACATGGTTTAGTGATATTTTAATTAAATGATAGTTATTTTGTGAATTTTATGTTTGTAGGAATTTGGTATACGTTTCAGTTGAAGTAAACGTGTATGGAAATAATTTAAATATTTGACACTAAGTATTTGTAACTATTTTTAATGTTTGCGTATAAATTCGTTGGTGACGTTTATAATATAATAGATAATTTAGAGGTAAAAGCTTTTGGATATTTTATTTGTTTTATACGTGGAAATGTTCATCCTTGGAAAGGGTATATACTTTTTCGCGATCAGGTAATTTCATATATGTGCTTTTTACCGAGTTTAAAGATTAAGAAAATTTTCCTGCATTTTCGTGCAAATTTTTGTAATTTATGAGAAAATAGCAGTGTAGATGGATAAAGTTAAGAGTGTGAGCAATGCCATTTTTGTGCAATTCTGGGATGTTTTTTTAAGTAAAAATAAGTCGACGTGTAAATGGTTTATGTATATGTGCTATTCTGCTAAATGGTTTATGTATATGTGCTTATTCAACGTGCAAGGAGTTTGCGATTGTGCACTTTTTCCCAATTTTGCAGTTAATATTTGTCATGATTAAGCAGCTTTGTTACATAAAATTTCTAGCATCAGTGTAATTCAGCTAATAAAAAGTGTTGAGTAAATAAAAAGAAAAGAAACATGTCTTTACTTCGTGAAGACAAAATGGTGGCGAAAAAAAAAATAGAGGGTTGCTGTAGCAGAGTTGGTCGCCAAATTTTCGCCAAAAAATCGCTAAGTTACCATAATCCAAAGATCAACCTAAAAGACTGTCTTAGTATGTGTGTAGGATTGATGTCGATCTGAAGTTCTACAGACCCTACTAGACAGGTTAGCAAGTTATCACTATATCTTAACCTCTTTATTTAGTCTAAACCCTGTATATAAAAAACACGACTTGTGCTACAGACAAACTGCTACTTGTTATGCTGTAAATTAAGCAAAATAATCAAATAAATAAGCATGTGGGTAACGTATTCTAAGACTGCAGATTCAATAAAATATGCTATAAGCCAGCTCATATATTTTACCAGCACAAAAGACTAAAGTATCAACTAGCATGAAATGCCAGGGCAGAATATCACTAACAGTATGACATGATTGCCAGAAACTCCCTCTCTAAGATTCAAAACTTCAGCTTATATACTATGAAAGCTAATTTGCATTCTGATGGAACATATGGAATGAAGAAGTCATAATAAAGACAAAAATCGTAAGAACTGGTTAATTAAGATAAGAATCTTACATGTAAATTAGTTACTTTAATGGATGCATTTAACTACAAAACAGAAAAATTAATATATTTTTTGCCAACAACACCTGCAGGGGGAACTTTATATTTTGCAAAGTTTTCCTGGTTTTTAGAAAAACAAAAAACTATGAAAATAAACTGAAAAATAAATAAATTGCAAGAGATTTTTTAAAAAAATTAACATTAGTTAATTACTACTTAATGAAATAATAAAACATTTTCATATTCAAGAGTGTATTCTTTAGTCACATTTTTATTTAATTAATAATATAATTTGATTAAATGGCATTTCATGTATGTCCCTTTATCATATAGATGTTTCAAGAGCTAAAACCAGAATTTGAAAATAATGCTGATGTTTTACAACTTGAGGGTTATATTTTGTTTCTGAAAAAGGACTATCCTAATGCTTTACAGAAGTATGATTTTTATTTCATATTTTTTTAGTAGATTGATTAAAATTTTGTTGTTTGTGTGCTTGTATATGGTATGAGTATAAGAAATGAGTGTTTTTCTATTAAGCCCATTTCAGTTATTGATATTGATTAAAAAACATTCATTATTCGTCTTTTGAATGTGCATACTGTTATTTTCTCAGGATTTATTATACCTAAAATTATTTTGTAAATATTATGCCAACGCATTTATCATTGTTTTGTGAACAAATTTAATAAACTTGCAAATGGAAAGGGCTAAAAGGTGATGCTAAGCAAAAGAGGTGCAAAGCTAAGAGAATTTTTGTTCGTGGACATTTGAATTAAGAGCAGGAATATTGCAACTAAATGGGATGAATCTTGGATTTATCCAAAAATATTTCACTTGTGTACTTGTTTGTTTGCTGTTATGTGAAATGTAGTTCTGTTTGCTTCTCTAAACCAAAAACAGATAGTCTGGAGGGAAGATATTTATTTCACACAGTCTCTACAGTCAGGAGAAAAAGATATATGCAGTGGTGAAATACCTTTAGGAAGGTGCTTTAAGTTAAAGAGCATCATCAGGTTATTATTATGTTGATATATAGAGTGTTTCAGAAAGGCTGCATGGCTAGTTATCCCTTGAATGGCTAGTTATAGATTTACTATTCTAGTTTAAAAAATGAAACAAATTGGGGAGACCTTTCATTCTGCTGCAGTCTCAGCTTATATTTGAAAATGTACTGTACTAGTTGCTTTTATTTTGACTTGAATTGGCATCAAGATTTGGTATTTACAGTCTTTCAACTAAGCTAACAGACGCATGTTTAACACACAAGCATAAATTCTTACAAAATATGCAAATACATCAATAAAAAATGCTTCTCAGCTGTACTTAACAACTTAAATTTTCTTACTTGAGGTAAAATGAATGTATACTAACAACTTCACACACGTAACATAAAACTTCTACTTGCATGAAATTTCAGTTCAAAGGCCTGGATAAATTCTGATTTAAGTTTTTGAAAAGCAATATTCACTTCCATCAACAAGTGAACTTATTCTTTTTTTTCTTTGTGTGCTTCAATGGAATTTGCTTAAACAGTAAATAAACTTAAACTTATTCTGTAAACAGTAAATTATCATGCAGAATTTTAACATTTATGTAGACTTAAAATTTCAGCGTTCCCATAGAGTTTTATTTTAACTGTTCCATTGGAATAAAATTTTTTTATCTTTTCTGCACCGTTAAGCATTTGTTTTTCAACCATTTCTTGTATGAAAGAAATTTTAAAGATTTATTTATTTTTGATAACATATGTACCAAAACAAATTTAAAATTAAAAGAAAATTTAACAGTCATATAAAATAATTAAATAGTGGGAGAAATTTTATAGCATAACATTAATATATAGATGTAATAGAAATAATTATTGTAATCACTTTGTAAAGACACATAATTTAGTAATATAATTTAAAATCATTATTTTAAAATTCAAACGAAATTTTTGTAAAAAAGTTATGCATTATAATATAAAGAATGACATTTTCTGTAATGGAAGTTTATATTTCCTTTAGCATATCCCTAAGTGTTCTGATTTCAGAATAATTATCATTCTCAGTGAGGAAAAACATCTGGAAGTCTAGTCACTAATCCCTACATTTCCCTCTCTTTTGTGAAATAAATGCACCCCTCTGAGAATCCATAAACTACAAACAAGGACTTTGTTGCGAATAGGAGGTGATTTCTTAAAGAGGACAAAGCATTAGTTTCAAGAAACCCTGTCCTTTCAAGGCTTTTACAGTTGTCAAAGGCCCAGGCCAAAAAGTTAATCAAATTATCACTTATAAATAATAATCATATAATTAAAGATGTGATTTCAAAAATTTAATGAAAAATAAGTTATTTATTCAAGCAGTTTATTAAAATTTTTTTAATTGCAGTAATATATATGTTATTCAGCAATGTAATCTTATATTTTATGCTACCAGAAAAGTTCAATTATGGAAAGCTATGGAAAGCTTGGGAAGTGCCGATTGCTAGATATGTGAAAATTCTAAATAGTTGGCACATAAAAAAATGCAGTTAATAGTTTTAAAAAAAGTGAAATAGAAGGTAAAATATATGGTGTAAAATTATAAAAACAGTCACATTTATTATCAAAGCTTACATTTAACTTTCAAAGCTTTCTTATTTGTGTAATTATAATAAGATTTCTTATTGCCACCCATAAAAGCCGACATATTTTCATAGGCTTTTTGGCTGACATATTTTCATAGGCTTTTGGGCCGACATATTTTTGTAGGTTTTTAACATATAAAACATCTTAACAAATTATGAAATCCCGTCAACCTGTAAAGTCGGCAGAGAACCTCCTAAATTTGTGCCAGCTCTACCAGCAGAAGTTTGAAGGAAAAGACTGCTCTTAGATAATCAGTAGCGTAAAATATGGATACGGCATATTAAAAACTTATATCACTTGTCATAATTTTTCATATTCTATCACCATTCTTTATCTCTTTTGAATAAAGTTGCACATTAGGTTCATTTGTGCAACATTTGATAATGCTAGGATCTTATAACTTTAAAAACACCCTTCTGTATTTTGCTCTGTACAAAGCAGGTCTCAAATTTTAATTATTTTTTTAAGGTGCAAAGGAAGAGCAGACTGATAGTAGTTAACTTATATCCTTCTTTAAAAAAATTTAATATATCAAAAGAATTAATTAGGTTTTACATACATAAGATCATAACTTGTTTGTAACATCATGCCTATTCTGTATTAACATGAAATTACACTAAGTGGCTACAATTTTTGTTTGTCGAAAAATGGTGTGACAGGAAATGTGTCTATGAAGACTGTTCTGTTCCAAGGACAAATTCTTAGAATAATTGATGGAGATGCAATGTTTGGCAGGGGAGGAGGAACATTTCCTAAAAGACATCTATGTAATTTTGTTCACATTTTAGATGCTATAAGTGAGATTCCGAATAGAAGTTTTATGCATGTTTTATGATGCTTTTACAAATTTATTTCATTTAAAAATTAAATCTCTTTTTCATTAAAAAAAATATAAAATTCTAAAATGTTCTAGTTACTTGAGCTTCCCAGTTAGTTGAGTGACAGATAGTTGGCTTTTACTGTATTTGTGTTTTTTCAGATATGTTCATATAATTGAAAGCTTTTTTTTTCACTACATTGTGTTTAGGTTGAGGCAGTCGGTTGCGCTTTCAGAATCTTCTTACTCTTTACATTTGATTGGCCTAGTTCTTTGGGAATCTGAACAAAAGGATAAGGCATTTAAAATTTTTATTAAAGTATGAATTTTGACTGCTCTCTTTCATTTTGCTATTTCAAATTAATAATTTTTTTCCATTAATCATATATTATTCTTTTAGGCTGCTGAGTTAGATCCATATTTTTCCAAGAATTTCTTATACTTGGGTCATTATTATTTGAATAATATATGCGATAAAAGGTAATGTATCACATATAATGATGTGCCATTTATTCACATGCTGTTTTTTGTCAAGCTGCTAAAGTATATAACAACTTACTAAAATTCTTATATTCCATGAACCCATTCTATTTTTTTCTAGGAGTTTCTTACTTCCAAAAGCAACTGATATGAATACTTCATTTCTGATTTTAATATTTAAAGAGCCATAAAATTTAAAAGCCATAGTCCACATCAAAACGTTTTGCTGATTGCACTGAATTTTCAGTTGTTAGCAAAAGAAAATATAAACACAGCACCTCCTAAAAAGTAACTCCCCCGCCAAAAAAAAAAAGTCACACACACACACACACACACACACAAAAAAAAAAAAAAAGCGCAAACTCAGTTTAGCAATTATTTTTTAAAAAATTTTTGAGAAGCCAAATAGATGGGCAACTGTGTGAATTGATATAGTGAATCATAAATTAATTTTATTTCACAACAGTATCCAGAATTATTTAAAACTGTTGGATTTTTACTGCTCAGTATTTTTCAGGATTTTTGAGATGGGATCTCAATCACTTTTACTTTTCCTTAATTTGCAGTTTTATATTTTTTTAAGTAGTAAATTAGAAGTTTACACAAGTTCTTTTTCCTGAGGCAGCATCCTCCTTCCCAAAGTGAAAAGAGCATTTTTTTTAAAATCTAGAATGCTTATCGGTCAGTTCTATAAGGTGAAATCTGATAAACCAGTATTATTAAGTTGGAAACTAAAAAATGATAGATTGCTGAAGTGTAAAATTGTTGAACTATTTTAACTTTTGATGAAATTTAATTTGTATTGATAACTGATTTTTATTTTAATTGTTGCTTTTTTAAATTTCATTTAACTTAATTTTTATTGAAATATGATATGTTTAATAATTGTTGTTTCATGTTATGCATGTTTATTGCTATTTTGCATGTTGATTGAATATGTCCTAATTAATTAATTTTATCTTTTATGCTGAAACCATGTCTAAATATTTTTTTTCTCATATTATTGTGACTTAATGGTATATGTGTCTTGATAATATTGCTTTCATTAAATAATCTGCAATGGAAATAATGAGTACTTTTAAACACGCCTAAGTTTCTTCTTCTTTCAAATTAAGGAACTGTTTAATAATTAAATAAATTAAATGTATGGAGCAAAATATATGTAAAATTTATTATTTTAGTAAAGCCTGCATGTGTTATCAAAAAGCATTTCATCTTGACAACACTGATACTGAAATTGGAATGTCTTTGAGTCATGTTTTAAAAGCTCTGGGAAAGGAGGTAATTATTTTTTTCATCTATCTAAAATGGAAATATTTTAAAACTTTTGTATCTCTCTGCAAGAACTTTTTGTAATAGTTAATTGTCATGAAGGAACTGCTTGATAATTTTATAGTCAAAATTATTTTAGTTCATTGATTATTAATGCAAAATGTAATGGGCTTTAAAATATTCAAGATGAGAGAAATGAATGATTTTTCTTCTTGCTATGATAATGTGTTATTATTGTTTAATTGAAATGTTTTACATGTAATTTACTTATTAAATGTAAAATACTTTTAGTAAATACACTTCATTCAAAGTAGTCACTAAAATTTCTTAATACTATCTTTTCTTTCTTTCTTTCTTTTTTTTTTTTTTTTAAAGAACTGATTTATGCAAATGATGTAAAATATTTAAGTGCTCTTTTAGTTCAGCATTTTTATATAATTTTAGAAGTTATGCATGAATTATATAAAAATAAGTTGTGTTTTGAAGAAATACATGATGATATATGTTTTTAGCATAATTTTATACTCTCTGGAGATAGGAATTTCATTGTTTGATGATTGTTTAATATTGTTTTTATGGAAAAATTTTTTTTTCAACTAGTCCTTTCACTGCTTCCCTTACAAATTTTTTTGAAAAAAAATTGCAAAAAATCATCACATTTTTTTTAATTTTATTATTAAATACAACAAAACAAATCAAAATATATAGGTTTTTAAGTTGAATTTTTAATTTTTTTTGAAGGTGTAAAACATTTAGTTTTAATATTAGTTTACTATCCCGAGTTATCTCGGGCAAATGGAAAAAAATTAAATATTAGTCTTTGTATGATAGTTTTGAAACAAGGGACAACACAAAGTGATACCTGACATTCTACACTGGTATGTGGTCTCTTTTCTTACTGGCTTGCTGCTGGAATCTCTTTCAAGGGAGCACAGAGTACACTGTCTAGTTGAATTTGATTTTTTTTTTTTTTTTTTTAAATTTTTCCACCTCTTCATAATCACTATCTGAAAAATCATCGTTTTTGCTATCTTGCATCATTGCCATTATTTTATTTTATTTTTTTTTCAATGCATGTATCCTTCTTTATACATTACTAATCCGCAAGCCGACGTATACCATACAATAGGGAAACATATGACCAGTCCCTCCAAAAGAACCGTGCAACCAACAAAATTTGGCAAACTGCCAATCAAAATTGAATATTTCCATTAATTTCCTCCAGGCCAAGTAAAATCGTGATAAAACAAATTGTACTAACAAATTCTGCTTCGCCCGAGTTTTCACGGATAATAATTAACTGCAATATATATGAACCCGAGATAACTCGGGATAATTAGGCATGCGGTTAATATATTGAATATATTAAAAGCAGATGTATTTTATAGTAACAAATCTAAGTGAGCTGTTTATTTTATTATGAATGCTTGAACAGTTATAGTTTTAAGGAATGATACTAACATTATTTTTAATATTCTTAGGAAGAAAATATGAGAATTTTAAAAATCATTACAGATAATGCCAGTTTAGGAAGGTAAGCTAATACTTTGTGAAACAAATTTCTATGCCTTTCATCTTCTTTTCTCTTTTATTATTAAATTTTATCTCATTTTAGTTGCAAATGGGCATGGACACAACTTGGGCTGTCTCAGTTGCAAAACAATAGCTTTTCTGATGCCACATTTTCTCTGCAGAATGCTGTAAGAGCAGACCCAAATAGCAGGTATTTTTCATTCATCAGTATGCTTTTGTGTGCATAAAAAAAGTCAAGCAAAATGGGACTTAAAAGTTTTTAAATTCAGTTTTAAGTGTATTTTATTAGCATAATTAAATAACAATGGAAGCCCAATACACTGCCAGTAAATATCTTTTCTTAATGTATGTTTTTTTTATGTTCAAATTTCATAAAAGTGCATTTTTATAATCTGTGTTTTAATACTATATATTGAAAACTTACGTAACTCAGAATAACAGAACTCTAGTTGAAATATTTATGATCGCATTTATACTGGCTTCTTTGTATAATATTTATTCAATTGTATAAAGAAAATTACACACTAATTAATTGTACAAAGAAAACAAATATCTGCATCTTGTCCAGGATTTGAACCCAGTTTAGCAGCATGTATTGTTAGATCCTGCTAATCAATGTACCATCCAGTGGGGCTGGAGAAATTTACATTGTATTTATTAGTGTTAATTTTATTAGCCTATGCAGCTATAAACATCATGTATGATAAATCTGGAAATAAAATAATGTTCAAACAGTAAATTCCGTATCATGTTGACACAAGTTATTTAGCAAATAATTTTAGCAAGTTTCTAGAATCCCACCAAAGATAAGAATTAGACAGTGTGTCTGTGTATATATTTGAATATTGTAATCTTAGTCACAGTTGTGTTTCAGATGTTTAAATCTACTAAAATCTTATATTTAAATAACTACCAAAAACATTAAAAGTTTTCTGGATTTAATTACAGTCAAAAGTCGTTAATTTGGACACCCATAATCCGGAATGATCTATAATCCGGACCTCAAAGCTAAAAAATTTCTGCGCATGCGCTGCGTTGACACATGCGCATAGGCATTTACGCGTGCGTGTAAGACCTTTATGACTGCGCATATGCGTGTGCGCAAGCGCAGAATACGTTTTCGCGTGCACGTTTTATGTATAACGGATGGTATAAGCTAAAATTATCTAATTATCTATTTCAGTTAATGTTGATGATTGCGTTGTTCCTTAATCTTCGAGTTGGATCCGGCTTATTATTTTTTGCAGACTGTAAGAGCAATTTTATAAAAGTAAACTTGAACTTTCGATTATGTCTAGAATTTCCGATGCTGGAGCTCCCAAAGGATCTACAAAACGAAAGTATGTTTTGATGTCCATCAAACAAAAAGTGGAATTGCTGCAAAAAATGGATAAAGACATGAAGAAGGTGACAGAAAGGTTAGTGAAAACGAAAAAATTTTGATTGACAAGTCGGTATTCTCGGCACAGCAATTATGGGACTTGAACAGCGAAACTTTGTAACTGAACAAGAAATTATGTCTGTTTATAGAATTAAGAAGAAAGTATTATCACATAAAACGAAGCAACTTAAACAACTTGCATTGAAAGAAATGTTTAATAAAGTAAACAAATAAATATTAAGCTTTTTTTTTTTTTGTAAATTTTGATTCCCTTTTGATCATAATTGTTCTTTATTTCATAAATTATGGTTTCATATTTTTAATTTTAGAATTTCTGCATGCCATCTTACGGGATTTAAACTGATGATCTATAATCCGGAAAAATCAATAATCTGGAATAGCCGAAGTCCCGACGAGTCCGGATTAACGACTTTTGACTGTATATCTTTTTGTTTTATATTTAATCCTGATTTCTTTGCTTTTTAAATTTTCTTTATGATAATCCATATAACTACCTTTTAAACATACCTTCTTTAAATTGTATTTAAAATTTTACTGAAGAACAATTTTATTTGAGATTTATGATAAAAACAAACTTGCAAAAGGGGTGAGATGATTCCAGTATTATTTCATCAAAAGCTCTATGTGTGGGGATTTGTGTGTGTGCACATACATATGTATACTGAATGAATAAGTTATTCTGCACATATTTGGTGAAAATATGTCAATGACCAAAAACATACCTATTTATTGGCTAGTGGAAAGTTGATATACTTGATAAGTTCCATATACAGTAAAAGCTCAACTCTCTAGGACACTTAAGAAGTGCTTAATTCTGGGTGGCTGAGTGTATGCAAAATACAACTGACAGTCAGTATATGAAATTAAAACATCTTATGCAATTATAAAATGCTGTTACCATGAAAATTGGCAGAGATGCTGACAAACTTATGCCAGTCATTCCAGTAGAAGCTTAAAGGAAAAGGATCTTTATTCAATTAGAATCTTATGATACTAGTTATGGACATAGCATATAAAAACATAAACTGTATATCATAATTTTTCTCTCTGCATTGCCATTGTTTATTTGTTTTCAAATAAAGTCTCCTTATCATGGTCATTAAAACTCATTATTACCCATAACTTTGAATATTCTATGCTGTTCTATAGAAGGGAGATCCAAATTTTAACCTTTCTTCCCCCCTTCAAAATTAGGAGGGGAAACAGATAAATAGCAGTTAACTTAAATCTTCCTTACCAAAACTAAATTGTCTTATTGAGAAGTAATCTGGTTTGCATGAAAGTAAGGTGAAGATCTTATGAATGTATTCTGACATTACACTTATACATTAATGGCACAAAATCGCACTATTTGGCAACAAATCGTCAGTGGGAAAGCACATTAAATAGAAATTTTTTAAGGGGATATACGACATAAAAATTTTTAAATATTCAAATTTTCAATTTTGGGCTAAAAAAATTAAGTAACCTGAGACGATACCAAAAATATATAATTTATCCATGTTTAGAAATTTTAAGACCGAAATCTTTCATTAAAAAATGTAAACAAGCCCACCAGTTGCAAGCCACCTTAGCAAGCCCACCAGTGAGAAGGGACAGATATCTGGTGTGGCAACAATAAAGCCATATCAACTGGTAAAAAGTATGTTCATAAACATTCTTTGTTAGAACCTGTTTTATTAGCTAAGAGGAAGTCTTTAGAAGGCTCCCTGACAAAATATAACTACTCTCAAATCGCATTCACGGAAGAAATCAAAACCCACCATTCACGGAAGAAATCAAAACCACCACCAACTGGTATTGTGGTTAGCGACGCTGAATGCCGTGCCCGGGTTCAAATCTCGGAGAAGGCATTGGTGTTTTTAAATGTATGGTGTCCATGCAGCAAGGAAGCACCCAAAATATGTGGCGAGCCAGAAGTCTTCTCGAGAGGAGGGTGATAGAGGAAGAAGGGTAGAGACCTTCAGACCCGTCCTCCCTGGGATGTTCTCCATCAAAATTGGGGTTGGAACTGAGCTAAATCACACTGTCACCTGTAAGGTGCTCAAGGCTGGTTGCCAACGACAGGTGCTCCTTGCGCTGTTATATGTCAAACAAGTGAATAACAACTCAAAACCCGAATGAAAGTTTTAATAATTGCATCTGGACTTGCATACCAAAAACTGTTTTTGTGACAGTCATCACATTAAAATTAGGTTTATTAGATGCAGTAATATGTTTTAATGATGGTGTACAATCTCGCTATAAATAATGGAATTATTGGGAATACAACCAGGGTTTTAATCGGTAAAGTTTTCGCGAAAATAGATTTTGATAAAATTTGTGAGATCCATCTTGCTTACCAAAAGCTTTCTAAAATGGCCAAAAAGAAACATAAGTTAATAAAACAAAAACAACTAGATGCAGAAATGCCAGTTCAAGATGATTATGGTGCAAGAAAATGTTAAAATGATTTTTTTGTTATAAATTAGTGTTTAAATTGTTTTCCCAATTTTTCTAAAAAATTTATTTTTTTTAACTTTCGGTACACTTTTCTTGAAAACTATTCGGCCAGAAGGTTTAAATTTCCCACAGTTGTTTATCTTAACTGTTTCTTTGAAACTACGCAGGATATAAAATTTATGATCATTAGTTTTGGATATATTAAAAATTTAATACCATTTTTTTGTGATTTTCAAAACATTTTACTAATTTATTTTTATATTTTTTTAAGTAAAATATAAAATACTTCTTATTATTCTTAAATGATATGTGATATGTTTTTAACCATCGTGCAAAATTTGAAGGAGTTTGATGCAGTATTTTTTAAGAAAAGTGTGCCAAACTAGCACACTGTCACAAAAGATTCGTCAAAGATAAGAGAAATTAAACAACTGGTTTTTAAAGACATTAAGCTCTAAATTTACATTTTATGTGTTTTATATAATCTAAAAGATGTTTATTTTAAATTAAAAAAAAAAAAGAATTTAGAGTATACGTTTATTTTGAGAAAAGTTATACCGTAATAACCTTTGTCCCGAAATAGTTGCATTTTTTGCCAGTCAATATGTCACATGTCCCCTTAAATAATTGTAAAATTTTTTCCTAAAATGCATTTAATAGAACTGAGAAGGACTTTCACTTCATATTTTCTCAGAATAAATAAAGTTCTTAAATCTTTAATTTATTTACATTGTTCTGATGCACTCTACTTCGAAATAAATAAATTATGAATGTCTATCTGTCTCATTGAGTTTCTTTTATCCCCCCCCCATAAATCTCTCTCTAATGAGATGCAGTTCCAAAATTTTTACTTTGGTGTATAGAATTTTTCTCATAAAATTGCAGGAATGTCAAAAAAATCTTTCTCCACATCATCAAATCCTCCACATCAAGAAATGTCCTCCACATCAAGAATTCTCCACATCAAGAAATGTTTTTTTTTTTTTTTTTTTTTTTTTTTTTTTCTGCTAGAAGATTCTGTAAATGTGTTCTAGTCAACATTTCTGAAGTTTAGTATATTTGTTATTTTTCAAAAAGCTGAAAACATGGGAAATAATTTCAACTGAAGTGTGTCATACCCAGCACTTCTAGGTCTATATAAAAGCATTTGATGAATTAAAAAAAAAAAATTGGTGTAAACTAGAGGTGTGCAAAATCTTTCTATTGTGGGATCAGATCAGAACCAATTACTTACTGAACTAACTCTGTTCTTTTCTTACAACTCACAATAACCTTGATGTGTAAGATAAGGAAAGCAGGATGTATCAAGAGTAGTTTCAATCAATGGAGTGAAGAGTGCAAAGAAT